GCCCAGCCCCTGCCCTGCTGTGGTGTGAGGCACTTGGATCTCCACAGCCCAGTCTGGGGTTCACCCTTTCACTGCAGGACACTCCCTCATACACATCCACATTCCAGGATCATGCCTGGACAGAGGAGGCTCTGCTTGTTGGGGCATAGAGGGTGCCCCTCCATTCATTTTCCTAACATAAAGAAGAGACTCAGCTGTCCCTGCAGAGCACCTTCTTGTGCTGGCTGTCAGAGGTTCATGCATCCAATCTACACCTTCCCTCTATTTTCCTTCCTGCTGGCACCCTGGGAACTGGAGGGGATCAGTAACTGTGGTCCCCACTACAACAAAGCCTTGTTGTAGTGAATCATGTTTTAAAAAAGTTAAAGATTTTAGCTGAGGGTTAGAACCAATTCATATTGTTAGGAAAATTAATCCACAAACATCAGAGGTTTGTGTCCAAAAAGGAGACAGAGGAGTCCTGTAACTTTAGCTGAATGAAGGGAGAGGCCATGGGGCATTCCCCTGGAATCTCTCACATTTTTGGAGGATGCAGCCTCCTTTTTATCCTAATTTTCCTTTTCTCTTTCCCCATTTCTGAGGTACTTGAGAGGGACAGAACTCCCCAATACACCTGATACCAGAGATTCCCCTCTAATGTATAACCCTCACTTTTAATTTTTAATTCTTATAGAATTTAGGGGTTTTTCTTCCCCATTGTTTCTTTCATCCTTTCATCTTTCAATATCTAATTTCATTTATCAGTTTATTTGTAAAAGCAAATATCTTTTTCCATTCACCAATCAATGGAACCCTTCCCATTTTTTCTTTTTTCTCCCAGTGCTGGTTTTATCTACCAGCAGACCCACAGCTTGTTTGTAAAGACAAATCCATATTCCTCCCAATACTGAAGTTAAATACACCAATGATAAGTTAATGATTATTAGATGCTTAAGCTAAAGCTAATTGTTATATTATGAGCTCATTTGTGGAAGAAAGTAGAGCAAGTGAACCATTATAGGAACATATTGGAACCAGCAGAACAATGCCCAGCACCTTATTAATTAATGATGGATTAATGTGTTAATCCATCATTAAGCAGGGGGCTTTGGATTGTGACAGAGGGTCACAGAGACCTGAGGAAGACATTCCTGACTTCATCCCTGGGACCACTGACCCAATTCAAGACCACTGACCCAATTTGAGAGAAGAATTGTGCACATGTGAAGGCCTAATAACCTCATTTTAATACAGAGCAGGGATGGGAGGTGCTGGGGTTGTGCATATGCATGTGAAAAATGCCAATCACTTGTTTTTAAAATTTAAAAAGTTTAACGGTAATAAAATGATTATAAAAATAGCAATATAATTAGAGTAAAAAAAATTTGGACAATTAGGATTAGGACAATGTGAGACAATAGAAACAAAGAGTTACAGTCCAGGTAGCTTTTTCTGGGCAACATAATCCCAAAAAAGGACCCACATTAACAGAGGATTAACCCTTAAAACCAATAGCTTGTTGCATATTCATACACCTCATACAGGAGGCATAAATTCCATTCAAACACAGGATTCTGTCTGGTCATCGTCAACTTCTTCTTCTTAATCCTAACAGCATCTTCAGGGCTGAGCAAGGCAGGAAGAAGTTTGTTTTTTCTGATAAGAGAGCAATAAATTATTTTTTAAAATTTTTTTAATGAATATTTTTTTTTTTTGGTGTCCTGTGGCTGCTACTTCGGTGCAAGTCCTTCCTTTTAAAAAAAAGTATCTTACACAGCATAGTTTCAATTTTAACATTATTTAATAACCTAAAATTATATTTAGCACACTACTTAAGAAAATTAATACAGCATAACTTTCTAACATAACACATATAATATTCATTTTAATATTTGCAAAAAGCCAATCATAAAATACATGCATTTTTCACACTGGGTTTGTAGGGAGCTGTTTGCCCATTTCCCTGCAGCCTGAAAGGAACAAGGCATTTTTCCTTACAAACAAACTGTGGATCTGCTGGTAGATAAAATCAGCACTGAGAGGAAAAAGAAACAGTGGGAAGGATTCTGCTGATTTGTGAATGGAATGAGAGGGATTTGTCTTTACAAACAAACTGCAGGTCTGCTGATAAATAAAACTGGATACTGAGAGATGAAAGAAACAATGGGAATAACTACAAATTCCATAGGAATTCCACTAATTGATACATGGAAAAGACAAAGAGGTGGGGGGAAGGGGGTTAAATTAAAAGGAGGTTTTAGGTATCAGGCGTATTGGGAAGTCTGTACCTCACAAGTACCTCAGGCAATGAGGAAAGAGAGAAAGAAATGCGGACGGGAAATTAGGATAAAAAGGAGGCTGCGTCCTCTAAAACTTTGAGAGACTCCATGGAAAATGCACATGACTTTTCCCTTCATTTGAATAAAGTTACAGGACTCCTCTGTCTCCTTTTTGGACATAAACCTCTGGTGTTTGTGGATTGATTTTCCTCACAGGCCTGACCGCTGGGAGCTCACAACCAGCGCGTGTGGCGCTGAACCACCGGGACAGGCTTGGGCGGGACCCTCTGCCCGCAGTGTGTTGCTGTGTGCTGGAATCCCGGTCTGCTCCGGTTTTTATGCATTAAAACTGGGTTTAATTCTTTCTCTCTTTCTTTGGTGGGGGGGCGGGTTAGGGTCGGGCCCCCTCACGCGGTCCCCCGTGAGCTCCCGCCCCGGCCGAGCCGCCCCACAGCGCCCCCTGCAGGCGTGGGGGAATCATCGCACCCGCTCTGCCCGCCGGGAGCCACCCGCGCCCCTGCCGGCCGTGCCCGGAACTGCAGCGCGGGGGAAACGGCTTCGAGGGAAAAAGATGTCAAAAATAGGTTAGAAAGTGATGGAAAATAGTTAATAATTGTAAAGCATGTACTGTTAGTTTGGTTATTATATTGTAAAAGGGGTTCAAAGGGTAGTTATAAGAAATGCAGTACGCATCTTACTGTATTACACCTAAGTAAAGTGCACCACACCCTAAGGGAAAGGAGCCAGCCTGGACAGAACTGTAATGGCAAATCAAGCGCCTTAAACCTTCATGCAAATGAAGGATCCCAACAAAAAACAATCCAAAGGGAGTAAAAACAGGATAAAAAGGGCATCTGACCCAGGGAAGATGTGCTGCTCCACCTGGAACATCGGGGACATCACTACTCAAAAAGACCCAGTGCTGGCGCTGTAGCATCCTTGACAGGAACGCTCCTGCTCCGGCCACAAGCCCCTTGCTTTAGGCCTTTTCTTTTTTATAAGAAATGCTGAAATCACTTAGTACAGAAGTGTGGTCCTGTTTTTTAACAAAGAGACTTCATGGGGTTTTCTAGTTTTGTTTGGTGGTGCTGCCATTGTTGTTTGTTATAGATACATATTATAATATTGGCTTTTTGCAAACATTAACACAGATTTTATATGTGTGGTGTTGAAATAACTTTGCAATAAAGATGTAGATTTATTTCTGTTGTTAATTAAGCTTAGACATAGTAGTGAAATAGCTGATATAAGGATGCTTGTGTTAAAATGCCTACTTTGATGGGATAACATCCAATGAACACAGCATGAGGACACCTGTACAGATATGCCAACTATCAGCACCCATTGTCTGAAGACAGTGTGGACCAAGACCCAAAACTGAAGATGATGATAAAAAAGAATTAAAACCACAACCAAGGAATATGCATACTCTAAAAAGGCAGATCCAAGGAGGAGATATGCTGAACAGTTCTTGGAACATTAAACTAGTTTGGGGAAAAAGTTTACTCTGGATAAGGATCTATGAATATGCAACAGGCTGATGTAAGGGATAAGGTATTCAAGGTGTAAGATAACAGAGTGGTCTTGGCTGAGTGCCAAGATGCACCCTAACATCCTTTGCTCCATTGTCCTTGTCTTCTATTGCCCTTTATTAAAATTTATTTTAAATTTTCACAGGAGAGTGAGCGTGGCTTTCACATTGTTGTTTGCCAAGTTACACAATATACACATTAATAAAGAAGTGTATGTATATCACTTTCCCCATATTTTTGCCTGAAAGCCCTTTGATTTCAGAGTTAAAATAATTTGGAGGGAAGGGGGTCACATTTTCCATTGCAGGGGAGGTTCCTGCCTTCCTGGGTGGACACCTGGCTTTCAAAGCAAGACACAGGTTCATGGCAGTCCCTCAGGTCCTTGATTCCCATTCTCTGGTTGGGGTGAGCCGTTCCTGTGATCCAGCACTGCAGATGGGAGGTGGGACAAGCCAGACACCGGGCAGATCTGGAGCTGGAGTGGCTTTTCCTGGATTGGATGGATTTTTAACTGCTTTGGGTTGGGACTGACAACTGAGGCTGTCAGAAATGCCACTCCCAGGGGTCCATTCCTGTCTGCAGAAGGGGCTCAGCACCCATCCTGGGGAGGACTGGCCATCCCTGGCCCTGGCCAGTGGCAAAGCCGGTGCCATGTCACCCAACCCAGCTTCCTCCCTCCCATCCAACCCACTGCTTTGAGAACTGGGTGCTGACCCTCCACCAGGAGGAAGAGGAGGGACAAACAGGGCGAGACTGGCTAGGCAGGGACCCTGGAGTGGGATGCAGGGTTGGGAGAGGGACAGTCTGGGGGAAACATTTTTTTCTCTCTTGGAAACATAATTTTGAGGCTGGATGATTGCATGCTGTAGGCGAAGCTCTGAGTCATTCTGTGGGAAATTTACCTCACCCTCTGCAAACCAGGCACAGAGCTGCTTGGTAAGGGCTTTATTGGGCAAAGCTGGCTCCAGCAGGAGGGGAAGCAAATCCCACCCATTCCCAGGGAACAGGGCTCGCTGTGTCCTGCTCTTGTTCACCTTCCAGCAGGAGTCTCCTGGTGCAGAGGGTCTGCAGCTGGTTCTGTGTGCCCAGCAAAACCTCCCTGTGTCCAGGCAGGGAGAAGGAGCCCAGCAGGATCTGTCAGCACTCTTGAGACAGGGCATGAAGGAAGCTCAAACCCATAGGATCCAGGCACTCCATCTCGTGGCCTCCCTCAGCCCCAGTGGCGCAGTTTAGCTCTGCTCTCCTTGGAGCGGCTCTCGGGCGTTGGCAGTGCCAGGGAGAGGAGGTTCTCAGGCTCCAGCACAAACATGCCATACAGGTTCCAGAGCAGCATGGCCAGGAGGGGCAGGAAGGTCATGCTGAAGCCAAAGGCACGGAAAGAGCGGCCGATGGCGTAGGACATCCAGAAAATCAACCTGGAGAAGGCAGAGAGTGCAGGCTGAGAGCCAGGGTGATGCTGTGGGGCTGGCACTCAGTGCTTCTGACCAGTGAGGATTTGGGGTGATGCTGTGGGGCTGGCACTCAGTGCTTCTGACCAGGGAGGATTTGGGGTGATGCTGTGGGGCTGGCACTCAGTGCTTCTGACCAGGGAGGATTTGGGGTGATGCTGTGGGGCTGGTACTCAGTGGTTCTGACCAGTGAGGATTTGGGGCTGGCACTCAGTGGTTCTGACCAGTAAGGATTTGGGGTGATGCTGTGGGGCTGGCACTCAGTTTCTGACTAGAAATCTGAGGATTTCCCTGCTGTAGGAAGAGGAACCCTTCCTGGCTCCGGTGAGCTGGGTGAGGTGCTGCCAGAGTGGGAGTTTGCTCCAAGGGATGGTGCTGGCACTGACAGAGCCTGGGGTGAAGGAGCCACTTACCTGGAGATGGCGAAGAGCCCTGTGAGCAGTGGGATGAGCTTGAGGAGCTCCTGTGGGAGGTAGGTGGCCAACACGGCCATGTTGAAGAAGTAGAGGATGAAGAGGTGCACGGACTGGGAGACGTAAGTGCGGTGGATCTCCACCTCCCGCTGGAGCTCTCCAAAGGGCTCCAGGGCAGAGGAGCAGAGGCGGGAGATGCCGCTGACGATCATTCCTGAGGGACAGAGAGAGGTGTTTTGTGGAGATAGCCAAAAACTCCACAACTTTGTGACAGTCGTGAAGCCGGTATGTTTATTACAGCACCGGACACATGTGGAGATTACTCTCCTTAAAAGGCATGCAGTACCCCTGGGAACTTCAGGTGCCTTTTTATCCCCCTCTCAAATACATCTGCATACAGTTTCACAATAGGTTCATACATATTCATTTTTACGAATTTCACGTGACATTTGCTGCTAGTTCTTCTTTATCAGAAAGAATTCCTAGGTCAGGTTGACCTGCTCTCACAGCAGTCTCTCTGTCTATCCCCCTCTGTCTCCTCCCCTTTATCTCTGTCCTTCACTGAATCAGCTTCCCTGAGCCTAGGCTTTGCAGTCAGGCTACAGAGCTATGTTTTCTAACCACAGACTCAAAGATGTACATTTCACCTAAATCAAAATAGATTTCTACTCTGGAGAATTTCTACTCTGTCTCACAGGGGCTCAGTGCGTGCCCAAAGGAGCCACGGTGGACTTTGGGGAGCACCAGGACAGGAGAAAAGCTCCACCTGCTGCTCCTGGTGGGAGTATCAGACCCACAAAGAGCTCGGTCCCAGGGCTCATGAAGCCTAGACCAGAAGCAAAGCGCTCACACCCCAGCCCATGGCTCACCCAGCACGATGGGGAAGGTGGCAAAGGTGGCACAGCGCAGCGTGTAGACCAGGCGGGCACTGACGGTGGGCAGCAGCGGGGCATCGAAGGGCAGGAAGATGTAGGCTCCATAGATGAGGCAAGGGCAGAGGAGCAGGGCCCCTGCCACCGATGCCACGGCCTTGAGGTTATCAGTGCCACAGTCCCTGGCACACGGGCACTGCGAGCCCTCAGCCAGGGGCTTGGCCATGCGCCCCTCAAAGCCCGGTGGGCTCCTGTAGCGTGAGGGGCCGAGGGGGAGGAAGACCTGCTTGTGGTGAAGGCTGCTGGCTCTGTCGCTGGAGGGGACACTGGGGGGAACATCCCCCCTGCCCTCCTCCCGGGGCCATGGGGTCGGGTGCTGCTTCTGCTTGAAGGGGCTCTGCTCGATGCACTGCGGGTCAATGGGCACAAAGACGTGGGATGCCATCACGGGCAGCTGGGGAACTTCCTCATCCTCGGCCTCGACTGTGGGGCAGGTGGGAACAGCTTCCTCTGGGTCTTCGTGGCCTCCCTCAGGACTCGAGCGCTTCTTTGTCTCCACGAGCTCCGGCTGGCCCCGGGCATTGTGCTGACTCTGGTCCCACGGCAGGGTGGCATCAGGGTCCCCCAGGTGCTCATCTGGGGCTGGTGGCACCTTGTCCAGGGCCACCTTGCCCAGCTCCAGCAGAGCCACCTCCTCAGGGGGCGGGACAGGGTCTGCAGCAGCCATGAGAGTGCTCAGTTCCACACTGCCAGGGATGCAGCTGGGGGCTGGTAACACGGCTGCCTGCACTTGGGGTGTTCAGAGGGGACAAAGTTCCTGTCCTTTCAGCTTTCACCCTGGAGAAAGGAGACAAATCAATTCGTATCAGAAATGAGAGGTTTGGGGTCACATGCACAGCCTCAGTTACAAAGTGGGAGCAAACTGGCACTCCTGGAGCCCTCACCACCCACCTGTCCTTGCACTAGGAGGGGAAAGCAGTGCCTGGTGTCCCCTGGCAGCGGGGTCAGGTTCTGTCCCGGGAGGGGTGAAGCCTGGAGGTGCAGATCTGGCTGGGAATTAATTCCCCTGATGAACAAACACTCTGGGAGTTCTGGCTGGGCACAGCCCAGATGATACAGCTGGCTCCTCAGTGGCTCTGTCCTGAGCAAGGACAAGCCAAGCCCTGGGGAGAGGTGACCTGGCTGCTTCCCAAAACCGTGGGGACAGCCAGCATGAGCCAGGTTTGCTGCCTCTTGTAGCTGAGACTGATGTGAGGTGGCAAAAGGGGTTGCTGGTGCCCTTCCATGGGTGCAGGAGGCACAGGCAGAGCTCCCATGCTGTTGTTACCCTTTAGGGGAACCCTGTCTCTTGGCCCATCCCGTGTGTCCTGCCTGTCAGAGCAAACTTATATTATCTTAGCAGTATTACAATTGAGAAAAACAAAGTAGATTCTCTGTTTCCTCAACAATTTAAAGTTTGTCCAGAAGTTTGACAAGGAGAAGACTTGAACAAAACATCTGTTTGAGTGTGCTCAAGTCCAAACTGAAGGGATTTTTTTTCTAGAATTGTTGGAGATAAGGCTAACCAGCCCTAACTAAATAAATACTCTGACAAAAACTGGCGGCTATATGAATTAGATACGCACAACTCTCACTGAAGTACATTTCCAGTGGAGGGCTGAGACTTTTTCCCCAATGAACTGCCAATAATCCATAAGCAGATGATTTTTAACTATCTATATGGGAAAAGATTGGAGCAAAACCAAAGCACTTTCATCCCTGCACCCACAGGAGCCCACAGGCGTGGGGAAACTGAGGCACGGAGCTTCCTCCGAGCTCCACACACGGAAGCAAGGCTGAAACAGCTTCTTAGGCCTCCCACACCTCCAGCACCCCATCCTGGACCCCAGCCCCAATCGCAGCCCCCAGTCCCAATCGGAGCCCCCAGCCCATCCCCGGCTGCAGCACTCACTCGGGCACGGGTGTGGGGCCATGGGGGATTCCAGCTCCATGGATTCCCAGCTCTGCAGGAGACCCTGCGCGATTCCAGCGCTCTCCCGGCCGCCTCTGCACCTCAAACCTGCCCGACCGGCTCGGGTGGGGAGGGCGGAGGGGCGGAAGCTCCGCCCGGCCCGGCCCGGCCCGGCCCCGCGGGGATCGGCGGCGGGCGCGGGGCAGCCCCGGGACCCCCGGGCCGTGTCCGGGCCGTTCCGGCTCTGGAAAACGCCAATCGCTTGTTTTTAAACTTTTAAAGGTAATAAAATGGTTATAAAAATAGCAATACAATTAGAGTAATAATAAGTTGGATAATTTGAATTAGGGCAATATGAGACAATAGAAACAAAGAGTTATGGATGTCCGGGTACCTTTATCTGGGCAAAATACGCCTGATAAAGGACTCACGTTAACAGAGGATTAACCCTTAAAAACAACAGCCTGTTGCATATTCATACACTTCATACATGATGCATAAATTCCATTCAAATACAGGATTCTGTCTGGTCATTGCCAACTTCTTCCTCTGAATCCTGACAGCACCTTCGAGGCGGGAAGAAGTTCATTTCTTCTAATAAGAGAGCAATAAATTCTCTTTCTCTGAAAGATTGAGGTGTCCTGTGGCTGCTATCTCGCTGCAAGTCCTTTCTTTAAAAAAAGTATCCTACACAGCATCGTTTGTATTTTAACATTTTTTACAACCTAAAACTATATTTAACACACTACTTTATAGAATTAATACAGCATTACTCTCTAACACTACACATATCATATTCATTTTAATATTTGCCAAAAGCCAATCGTAAAATACGCATTTTCACACGGGTGTGCCAAGTTAAAGAGCTCTCTAAACTCACTCACAGTTTAAAAAGGAGACAGGAAAGTCAGCCCTTGTTTATCCTGCAAGGTGGAGTTTTCCACAAATCAAGCGCACCAAGGGTAACACTAAGTTTCATCTTTTAAACGGTAAAATTTACATTAACCAGTCTAACACACATCCCTGCCCATCTAAAGAATATTTATGTAGCGCCACCTAACACAATGATGGAAATACCAAGTATTTTTATTTTATTGAGTGTGAAAAACGCCAACCACTTGTTTTTAAAATGTTAAAAGTTTAATAGTAATAAAATGGTTATAAAAACAGTAATACAATTAGAGTAATAATACCAAGTATTTTTATTTTATTGAGCAACTTTTATTACAGAAATTAGAAAAAGTTCCGTGCCGGCAGAGTTATGTTTACAAAAGGTGAGAAGGTTCAGCTTGAAGACACCACTGGGGGAGGACCCGACGGGTGCCTGGCCGGTCCCTGGGGACCCTCGCAGAGCGGGATCCAGAGCAGGGAGGGATTTCTGCGCCGTTCCCCCCGCTCCCGGCTCCACACCACGGGGCGGGCTCTGCTCCAGCCCTCGACCGGGACAAGGGGACCCCGGCCCGCCCTAGCCCTCAGCCCGGCCGTGAGGCGGCGGCCGCCATGTTGCCAGCACTAAGTGCGGGCGGCTCAGCTCTCGCGAGACGAGGTCGCCCCCACCACCGCCCTGCCCGCCCGGCGCGGCGCCGCCGCCGCCGCGGGAAATCTCGCGAGAGCATCGAGGGCCAGGGGGCAGCCATGGCGGCCGAGCGGGCCCGGGGGCGGCGGCGGCGGCGGCGCGGGCGGTGCTGAGGGGCCGCGGGGCCGGGCCGGGCCCGCCGCGGGCGCCATGAGCCAGGGTGGCGGGGCCGCCGGCGAGAGCGGCGAGCCGGAGGCCAAGGTGCTGCACACCAAGCGGCTGTACCGGTGAGCAGAGGGGCCGGAGGGGATGGAGGGGCCGGGAAGGGGAGGGAGCCGGTGCCGGGGCTGCTCCAGATGAGGGTGGGGAGAAGCAGCGCTGAGGGGTCGGGGCTTACTCAGGGGGACGGGGAAGGATTTGGGGAGGGAGGGTAACAGGGGGTGCACGAGGAGAGCAGAGGGAGAATGGGGCTGGGGGTGACGGGAGGGGATTGTGGCGGGGAGGTTGGGCCAGGCTGGGGAGGACCGGGGTGAAGGAGTTGGTGAGAGACAGGGAGGATAAAGGAAAGGAGATGGGGGAGTTGTCAGTGAAGGATTCGGGGGACTGGGGAAGGACATGGTGGAATTGAGGTAACAGCAGGGATGGACGGGGTTGGGGTGGCTCTGGAGGAACGACAGCACAGGGGATCGGAGGGATGTTCAGAGACGATGGGGAAAGGAGATGGTGGAAATTAGGGAAGATGGAAGTGAAAGTGTGGGGAAACCCAGGGAAAGGGTGCAGTGCAAAGGGAGAGGAGAAGGAGGAGGTTTAGGGAAGACCGGGGAAAAGAGTTGTATGAGATCAGAGAGGATAAGCAATACATGGAGGGGTTCCACTGGGGAAAAGGAGTCTGGTGGCTCCAGGGCAGATAAATCAGACCAAGGGACTGAAGGAGATCCAGGCCAGATGGGGGAATGCAGAGATGGGGGGAGGAGATAGGTGGGAGAGCGGGAAGAGGGTCAGGGGTAAGGGGACACCGAGGATGATGAGTAAGGACATAAGAGGTGGAAAAAGGAGTTCTGTGGGATTCAGGGAGAATGATGGGGGCTGAGTGGAAAGGAGCTGTTGGGATACAGTGGGATAAGGGTGAGATGTGGGGTCATCCAGGGAGAGCGGGTTTGGAGAGGGATCCCTGGCTTTGGCAGTAGGCAGGGATTGTGTGAGAAGTGCTGCAGAAGAGGATGTGATGAGCAGGAGTGTGAGCTGGGGCACTCTGCTGCTGTGTGGAGGGCAGCACGGCTCCAGCTCTGCAGATCTTTCCAGTTAAGCTCTCCCTGGGACTCTGGTCCCACATTTCCACACCAAGCATTGGAAATGGCATCAGAACAGGACTGGGGCACTCCTGCTGGCCTTGGTGAGCTCAGGCCCCCTCTGCTCTGCTCCTCACCTGTTTCGTGAGGGCAGCCTAGAAATTGTTCCCTTCTGGCTCAGGTTCCCTGTCAGTACAACAGATCCACAGGAGTTCCAGCAGCAGCTCTCAAAGATGAGCAAAGTGATGGAGACAAGAGATGAATTTTACACGGGGGTCCATTTCTTTGTGTCTTGATGACATTGGCTGTGTCCTTGCACCTCGTGGCACCTCACTGCCCTCCTCTAGAGCAGGGCAGGGTTTTGCCTCCCCAGCAGTAGCTGCAGCTGTGGGTGGTGGTTGTTTTGTGCTCGGTGCAAGCACGTTGCTGCACTTTGGGGGTTCAGTGGGTTGGTTTGTTGGTGTGAGGTGAGAAGTGGGGCTCAGTGTGATGGAGGTATGGGCTGCACAGTCCTGCTGGGGAGCTCTGTGTGTGCTGCTGCCACGCTGAGACACCTGCAGTGATCTCCAGCACATCAGCAGAGTGTGGCACAGGCCTGCAGAGGATGTTTGTCCTTCTGCCTGCAAACCAGAACGTGTTTTGTTGGAACCATCCCTGTCGTGGTTCCAGACCTGCTCTGCTTTGTTTTCCTGGTGCTGCTCAGCTCATCTGTCGAGCAGAACCTCACGTTCTGCTGCAGAGAACTGCCTGTGGCCAGAGGAGGGATTGTCATCCTTGCAAGGGAGGGGTTGTTTTCTGTTTCAATTTTTGTAGCAGAATAAGGTGTGTGGTTGCTCTAGAGCGTTTTTACAGCAGAAAAAGAACCACCCTCCTCCTCCTCCTTTAGTGGGGAGGAAGCATTGTGATTTTAGCACAGGATTTATAGTGCCTGCAGTGGCCACAAATTTCCGTCTCTGTAGCTGGCAGTTCTCTGAGCAGTTCCCACCTTAACATTCTCCTGTCAGTTCCTCTGTGTCTCAGCCTGAAGTGGGAGTTTCCTGCCCCCCGTTGTGTGGCCCGAGAGCTCCTGACTGTCACACTAAGCGGCGCCTTTGAGTCACAGATGCGGGAATGCCACAGCTGTAAACGGCGATCCCATGGGATCAGCCTGTGGGAGCTGAGCTCAGCTCTCCGAGGTCCTTGCCTGTCAGAGTGTCCTTCCAGACCCATTGCTGCTCTTCGGGTAAACTTTGATCTTTTCCAAGTCTTCCTGGATTGACAGTTCCCAGGTTTCACCTTGGAATGTGGCAGCTGCGTTATCATCGGTGTGCTTTTACAATGCCTGTTGTGGCATGAGGTGAGCAGGTTTATTTGACAGGTTTCTGGGTAACTGTCCCGTTCTCAGCTGTTTTTGATGGCCTGGAAAGGCTCGGGGAGGCCTTGGGACAGCCCGTGCTCCAAAGGACGAGTCTTCAGGTTTTTTCTTGGTCTTCAGTGTTTATTAGTTTTTATCTACAATATTTTCTCCCGGCCCGACAGAGGTGCGCACAGCACGTCGGCCATGAGCACACTGAGAGCCCTCGGGGCGGTCACTTATCTTTATACCCAAAACTACGTGTAAGATATTTACCTATTTTCCCCAATGCCTTTCACCCTTATTGACAAGTGCACTTTTAGTAAGAGCCAATCCCAAAGTACCACCACCACCACAGAAAATGGAGGCCAAGAAGAAGAAGAAGAAGGACAGGACACGCCCCAATTCCTCCATCTCACTTCTCTAGACCCCCCTGTACCAAAATTCTAAAACCTGTGTTTCACACTATAATTAACCTATCCCTTCACCATTTATCCCCGTGAGATCCTCCCATCCTCACACAGGTGTCATCTCCTGTGCAGGATCAAAGTCCAGCCACCAGACACTTCTGGCAACATTCCAGGACCTCCGAGCCCCCCAAGGGTTATCTCGGTGTCTCTGCACATCAGTCCTGAGGCGCTGAGATCCCACAGGTAACCATTAGCCCGTGGACTCGGTGCTGCTGGTGCTGTGTGGAGCCTGTTCCAGGCACTGTGGTTTGTGGACTGACACATGCCACAGCACAGCTGAATGACTTGCAGGTCTTTTCTCTTAATAATGTCTTACTCCTCACACACTGTGGCTCTTAGTGATGTCCTAAATAAAGAAACAGAGGGGACAAATGTCCCTGCTGTCCTGCTCCATCCCAGACTGTTAATGACATGGAGGAGAAGGGACAGATCAGTGTCTGTATGGCACTGGCCTGTTTCCACCCTGCTTGGCACCATGGGCTGTATTTGTTTCCTTTAATAGACTGGCATCTGATGTGCCTCCTTTGTGGCTCTGATGTGCTGCCTGACAGCAATGTTTAAACTCAGCAGGTGGAAAAATGGGTCCTGGAACAGGATTTGTGCTCTTAACTGCTGGGGAAAGTTCAACCTGTGGTCTTGGCACAGATGCTAAAGTGCATTTCCAGCAGTGCATGGTCCATAGCACCTGTGTTGGTGTTTCCCAGCATTTCTGGTGTTTCCCAGCATTTCTGGCTCCTGTCCCTTTTGTCCTCACTGAATCCTCTTTCCTCAGCAGCACAGATGTGGGATCTGGCAGGGCATCCCCAGTGTCACAGATTCTGCTTTGCTCCTGCCTCCTTCTCTTGCAGCAGCACCAGAGGGGCTGTGTGGATGGGGACAAGGCAATGTTCCAGCCCTTAGGGGTGACAAACCACATCCCAGTGTGTCAGCCTTGCTGCCCTCTGCTCATCAGCTCTGTTTCTTTACAAACACTGAAAGAACAGCAGAAATACCGAATGTGTGCCCGTGCCCATCCATGGCCTGTTGTAGAAAATTAGGTTGTATGGCAGATGCCCTCTGGGCCACCTTGAGGGGAAGGTGATACCCTTCTGTCCCTAGAAGGAAACATTTCTGTAGTTGTCATTTGGCAGGGCACTTGGATCATTTCCCACACTGGCTCTCATGGACATGTGCACTTGTTTCAGACACACACAGCTGAGATTGTTGCTCACAGAATGTTGTTTTACAGCTACTTTACTGCCCGTGTCAGGAATCACTGATTGTAGTTTATTTGTAGTTCTCTCTGGGAATTAAATGAACCAGCAATTCCTCTTTCCTCTGGTCTCCCTGTGAGAGGAATCCAGTCAGCTCCTGGTGTGTGAGGGGACTTGGAGAGCCACAGGACAGCAGTCCAGGCTGCAGGAAGGAGATGTGCATTGCCTGTGTTTGTGGGGTTCTGTTGTGGGGCAGCTAAACTGGTTTTTTTTTGGATTGTCCCCACCCCAATATGAGCTTGCAGGGATGCTGCACACTCAGTGCCTGTTACCTGTAAAACAAAATGTATTTTACCTGTTTCTTTCCTTGCTATGAGGGTATGAGGCTGTCAGAGTTTACAAATGCCCTTCAGGCCTTATGAGAAAGAGGGCAGTGAGCAGGAGGGGCTGGATGTCAAGATGTAACAGGATTTTTTGTGTGATTATTACCATCTCCTTGGTTTTCTTCATCATTATTCAGTTGGAAGTTGGTTCAAGTCTATGATGTTCTGCTCTCCCAAGGCATTGCATGAGATGCTTCTATTCCCCACATTTCCCTTTTCCTGATTCTGTGCTTACTGGAAACAACTGAAATTTCTCTACCTTGAGTGAGAGGCTTTCTGTGACGTAGCAGGAGATGGGACATTTTCTGTGGGAGCTCTGGAATGTTCTGGGGCTTTTTTCAGGGAAGTTGCTTTGGGTGTAGTGAGTTTGTGAGGAGAGATTTGCCTTGCTGGGAAGGTGCTGGCATAGGAAACCTTTGGTTACTTTGCAGTAACATCTTGAGTTTTCAAGGAAGATTTTGAGGAGTGACCATGGGTGGGGTGTGTCTGAAGCTGAGGGGGAGAACAAGGACCACTGCGGTGGGTTTGGTGACCTCAGGTACAGGCAGAGCAAAGGCAGAGGCTGGAGGTGACCCCTTGTGTAGGAAGGGTTGGCTGTTATTGTTATTGTGCTTTATTGAGCTGTCCCTGAGCTGTGGATGAGGTTCAGCACTAATGGTGCTGAAAGTCCTGGGTTTGTTTCACTGCAGTGTTCAGAGCTGTGGTGTGATTTGTTCACAGCTACAAACTTCTGAGTGTTTGAGATTTGCACAGTGTGGGATTCTTCCTCCAGAAGGAGGGTTTTGGGCAATGATTGACTAAAGTGCTTTTTTGCATGGCTCAGAGGTTTGGAGGTTGCTTGCTCTGCCTTTTGGGGGAGAAAACCTTGGAACAAATTTCCTCTCTCTGTTACCTGTCACTGAGGGAACTTTAGGGGTTCAGCCAGTGAATCCCTGTAACAAAGATGGGGAAGTTTTGGCAAATGAGAGACTTGTGTTGCCTTCTTTTGCAGGCAGATTGGTAAGAAAACAGGAGTTGGTGGAGGTTTGAGTCTTACACCATTAAAACTTACCCCATCAAAACAGTAGTTTTTAGAATTCAATCAATTTTATAATCACAGAGTTTAAGACATTTAAATTAATCTGAATGTAGGTATAGCAGGTTTAATTGCTGAGGTTGCCAGCGAGTCCAGAGACATTTCTGATTTTGCAGCTGTAGAAATAATTGATGTATTTGATCAGACAGGCAGAGGTAAATGGTGATTAAACCACTGTTCTGCAGAAAAATGCCTATAATTCTGTATTCCATAACCTTCTTCAGAGTGCAAAAAGGAGATCAGTGACTGTGCTGTGGTGGTACAGGGCGCTGGCAGTGTGCTGACAGTGGGACTAAATGGGGTTCCTTGCAGCCACCTCTGATCTGCAGTGATCCCAGGTGACCTCTCCTGAAACTTTGGTTCTGTGTTCTCTTGCAGGGCAGTGGTCGAGGCCGTGCACAGGCTGGATCTCATCCTTGGCAATAAGGCAGCTTACCAGGATGTGTTCAAGCCAGAGAACATCAGCTTGAGGAACAAGTAAGTTGGGCAGAACGTTTGTGTTTTGTGTTTGGCTGGGGAAAATCCGTGTGAAGCAACACGTGGAGCTGTTGAATCTGCAGTTTTAATGTTTGTTTGGTTTGTAGTGCACCTGTTGGCCTGGGAGCCTTCCAGGTTTTGCAAGCAGAGGCTGGGTTTCAGACCTGTGTTTGAGCAATGCAATCCATGGCTTTCCTGGATATCATTGATACAAATAAATTGTCTTTGTGTTGGCCAATTCTTTCCTTGTAATAAAAACCGTGGGGCAGAAATCTTACACATGTATAAAATCTTTTATCTGGGGTCTGGGTTGTTGAGCAAGGAGGATTATTCTTACTAATTTTTGAAGCTGTCATTACTGCACTTCAGGAAGTCACTGATGGCCAGCTGAGCCCAGAGGGCACTGCTTTCAGCATGTGGCTTTTCCTGGTGCTCTTGTGTGGGAGTGATCCAGGCAGATGGCATAGCTCAGCCCTTGTGATGGGTTTGGATTTTCCTCTCTGTGCTTCTGTAGTGGCAGCTGTTTGAGGCTGCAGGACCCACTGACAATGCTCTGCTCTCTGTCCAGGCTGAGGGAGCTGTGTGTGAAGCTGATGTTCCTGCATCCAGTGGATTATGGAAGAAAAGCAGAAGAACTGCTCTGGAGAAAGGTTTACTATGAAGTTATCCAGCTCATTAAAACAAATAAAAAGGCAGGTATCTATGGCTCTGGCATGAGAAGGTCTCTGTGCAGTGGAGGCAAAGTTGAAAGCTTCATTTGCTTGGAGAAGCTGTGGTGTGAGCCCAGGGTGGGGAGCTGGGCACTCTCACATTCCTGTGGGGCTGCCCTGTGCCTTTGTGTGGCAGTGTGCAGTTAAGCACTGATGTGCTGTTGAGAGTCCTGCCATTGCAGAGGGCATTCCAACAGAATTTGCTTATTTTTTGTGTTCCCCTCTTCATCAGACAGATCTCTCCAGGTAGGGTGATTGTTTCAAGTGCTTTATCAGTGCTGATTGTTTTTACAAGAGTTGATCTTGTAAAATGAAATGCCTAAATGAAACATTTTCAAGTCGCATCTTACCTCAAAATTGAAAATTCCAGCACTTGGCAAGTAGAAATATTTTTTAGTCCATTTAATTCTTACCTTTGTCTATGATTTTCTTCCTTCAACACACCAGTTTATCCACAGCATCCTGCTGATTACACGTGCAGCATAATTCACTTTCTGAAATATAAACTTGAAACCAGCTCAGATCCAAAACCAGTTACTGAGGAGGGGTCAGTGGAAGATCAGGCAATGTCCAACTTTCTACCACCACTGTGTTCCCTTTGAGTTTCTCCTTTTTTGGCTTATCCATTGGACCCTAAGCCAAATTTTTGGAAGAGCCAGGAGAGCATTGGAAGATCCTCAGTGCTCTCCTGGCTTTTCAGGGGTCTGGGTGCATTTAAGGTGCTCCAACCAGATACTTTGATTTTATTGATTTATTTTTACAACTATTTCTCCTTGATGTTAACCCTTAGTAAATACTACTAGGGGAGGCACTGTGGAGCAGGAGGAGGTACAGAGCTGTGCAAAACCAATGTCTTGCTTCACCCTCAGTACAGCTGAGTCTAAACTGTGCTCAGGGCTGCATTAACATGTTCCTCTTCCCTCTCTCAGCACATCCACAGCCGCAGCACCCTGGAGTGTGCATACAGGACTCACCTGGTGGCTGGCATAGGATTCTACCAGCACCTCCTGCTCTACATCCAGTCCCACTACCAGCTGGAGCTGCAGTGCTGCATTGACTGGACACACGTGACAGACCCTCTCATAGGTTTGTGCTCAAGGTGTTTGGTTCAGAAATTCACCCCACAGGTGGCTTCCCCTTGCACTAGTCCATCTTTGTTTCAGCATTCAAGGGAAATTTTTTCCCCCCTGATTAGCAAGGTCTCTGTTTAGAACAGACTGTTCTGCTTTCTTTTCCATGGCACTTTTTCTTGTAAATAATACTAAATTAGGGAAGAAAGAAGGGTTTCTAATAGAAAGAAAACAGTGTGAGAAAATTCTTTAGGAAAAGTGTCTGGTGATGGCAGATTTTTATGGGAAACTGAAGAGCACTGCTGACTGTATAGAATGTTTTTAAAAGCTGAGTTAAAGCAGACAAACAGGGGAATAGGTTCTTGAAATCAACAGATTTCTGTCAGTTCATCCTATCCACTAGATGTAAGACTCTTCCTCCTTTTGGTGCCTCAAGTCTGTGCTCTCTTCACTGTGTGGCTTCTGAATCTTGGACTGAGAGCCCAGGAAGGTCCTGTAGTTCATGTTAGCTGTGTGTGACCTCTGCAGTTCATGCTAGCTGGCCTGTGTGACCTCTGCATGGCCTTGGGTGCAGGCAAATCTGAGGTATTGTACCTGTTAGAGGAGGAAGAATAAGAGCATTTACAGTCCTGAAACAGCTCTAGACTGTCTGTGCATTCACATCCTGGATTGTCTTGGGTTTGCCCAGGGTTGTACTCAGTGGCCTCAGGGTGCATGGTTCTGTTGTGGGGGTGTCCAGGTGAGAAATGGAGCCTTGGTTTTGTGAGCTGCATTAGCAAAGGTTTAACTGCTGTGCTTAAAGTTGGCAGGGCACAGGGCAGCAGCACCTGGCTAAGGGAAGTTAGTGTGTCTTCAACAAAAGGAGATTTTACCTGCTGGGATCCTACTCTTAGTTCTGGGAAATGATGGTGTCACTATTGGCTTCAGAATGTTGGTTTAAAAGGCAGATGTTCTTAGCAGGTGTGGCTTTTAGAAGTGTATCTCAGTATTGCAGCATTAATAAATCCTCAATATGCACATTCCAGGTGGTTTATACCCTGAGGGGTGGTTGCATAGGTGGGTTTATACCCTGAGGGGTGATTGGATAGGTGGGTTTATACAAAGGGATGATTGCATAGGTGGGTTTTTATCCTGAGGGGTGATTACATAGGTGGGTTTATACAAAGGGGTGATTGCATAGGTGGGTTTATACCCTGAGGAATGATTGCATAGGTGGGTTTATACCCTGAGGGATGATTTGATTGCATAGATGGGTTTATACCCTGAGGGATGATTGCATATGAAGGGCTCCCCTTGTTCAGGTTTCTTGGTGTGTTTGGGCTCTTCATTTAAAAGGATGCTGCAGGTGAGCACATAACTGGAGAGTAGAGATGTAACTTTTGCCTATCCAGAAAAGATGGATCTGAAAGGATCTCTTATAAACCACAGATGGGGGTGGGCACAGCTTCATGGTTATATGAATGGGAGCAAGAGGATTCAGAGCAAAAAAAGGGAGGTTGAATCCAGTGGTGTATGTGGTCACAGATTGAAGGCTCTGTATTTGTAGTGTGGCTTGGACAACACCTCTTGGTAAGTGGGAACAGCTCCTCACTGGTCACTGCAGCCTCCAGATTCCATGTCCACCCTTTTAGCCTCATCAGGAGGGAAGCAGAGTGCAGACTGGATTGGTCTTCAGAATCTTCTTTGGGGTTCCTGCTTGAGGGAACTGTCTCTTCCAGAAGGTGTGAGCGAGTCCTTGGCAGCAGCAGGGCTGAGGCCAGCCTGAGGTCAGCCCAGCCTGGTGTCCCAGCAGCAGCAGCTGCTCTCTGGAGGGGAGGTGCAGGCACAGCAGCCTTTGCCTCCTGGTCTCTGGCTGAACTGTGGCCTGCCTGTGCCCTTCCCAGGAACTGAGTTCATTTCGTTCACATCAGCTGGCTGCAGCCTTCCTCTGTTGCTCTTGACACTTTCCACTGCTTGAATTGCTCTTTTTTATAAGTTTAGTATAGAATAGACAAGGTTATTTCAGTGGGAAGGGACCTGTGATTGTCCAGTCCAACTGCCTGAGCAGCTCAGGGCTGACCAGGAGTTAAACATGTTGTCAAGGACATTGTCCAAAAGTTCCTTAAACACTGATAGGTCTGAGGCATTGACCAGCTCTCTAGGAAACTCATTCCAGGGTGTGACCATCTTCTAGTAAGGAGAGGCTTCCTCATGTCCAATCTAAACCTCCTTTGATGCACCTTTGAACCATTTCCATGTGTCCTGTCACTGGATGCCAAGAAGAGGAGACTGGCACCTTCTCCTCCTCAGGAAGCTGCAGAGAGCAGTGAGGTATCCCCAGCCTGCTCTTCTCCAGCTTGGACAAGCCTGAAGTCTGTGGCCTCTCTTCCCAGGCTGTGCCTTCAGCCCTGTCACCAGCTCAGTTGCCTCCTGAACCCACTGCAAAGAGGCATTTCTCCCTAACTGACTCTGGCTACAGCACAGATTTCTGTCCTAGGTTTTCCCTTGTTTAATTTCTTCCCTTTTTGGCTGGTCACTACTAAATCTACATCTTGATCCTGAGACAATGAGTTTGTTTCCATCTGCATTGTTGGAGAGAGTCTGTCCCTGTTGTGTGTTGGTGCCCAGTGCTCAGAGTTTGTTCTGGCTTCCATGGGGGTGTTCCTGCTCCCATGAAGGCCTCATTAGCCATGCTAATGAGATCAGCTGTGTTAGTTGTGTTAACATGATCACACAATCCTGTAGGCAGGAATTGGCCTTTGTCCTCTCACGTGAGGGCAGATGGAGCCAGGTCTCTGTGGCAGACCTTATGGACATGGTGACACTCATTTATTTATGTCAGTGACTCCCATCACAAGGGAATCCAGGGGGAAGTGGATGAACAGCAGAGTCTGGAAGTATTTTCCTGCATTTTCTTTCCCCACATTTTGACAAGAGTGACCCAGTGCTGCTCTACAAGCTGGCAGTGAGGTCTGACCATGGGGGATTTGCTTTGGGTGCCATGGGCAGCTCTGGTGTTTCCCAGCAGCCTCCTCCCAGTGCTCTGAGTGGTTCTGTGTTTGCTTGTAGGCTGCAAGAAACCTGTGTCTGCATCAGAGAAGGAGATGGAGTGGGCACAGATGGCCTGTCACCGGTGTCTGGTTTATCTGGGAGATCTAGGTAAGGACAGATTGCCTCTCAGGGCAGCCTTTACATGGCAAAAAGGTGCTGCCTGTAGCCACCATGTGAGGCTGTGCTGTTGGGCACCAGCCAAGGTTACTTGCAGATTCTGTTTCCCTCTAACACCTTTGTCACAGACTGGGATAAGCTGAAATCCTCATGGTTGAACTGCTCTTTTTTATAAGTTGCAAGTTGATATAACTTTTTTTTTAACTGCTGCAAGTTGCAGGAGCTCTGTGTTTGGTCAGGTAGATGAGGAATTTGCTGCTGCTGAGCAGCTGTAGCCATGGCTGTGAGAGTGGAAGCCTTTGCTTTTATTTATATTGTTTCCACAGTATGAGGGATTAAAAAGAGTTAGTTCAGACTGCTTAGTTGTGACTTAAAAACCCTCTTCCATCAGCACCAGTGGCACTGAAAATCAGATTTAGGCAATATTGTGCATCAATGCAGAGTTCTGCCTCTGCAAAACCCCAGTGTCATTGTGCTTGGCTGTGTGACATCCTTTTTATAGCAGCATGACTGTCCCACAGTCACGACCTCCTGAAGTGTGTGGTAAGTGTGTCAGCTTCTTGCTGGTGAACATGTGGGAGTAAAGGCAGGAGAAAGCAGCTGTGTGGAGAGCAGCTCTTGGAAGAGTGGTGCAGGTACATGTGTCTGACACTGCAGCCTCCAAATGCTGAAAGCTGTTTGGCATTAGTATTGCATGTGAATCAGCCTAAGAATGGCATTGCAAATAAATGTCTTGAGGGGGTAGTAGGAATGACTTACCTGAGTGGTGGGAGAGAAATGAGCTCACCTTTTCACAGTGCTGTCACCTAAGGTTTTCCAAAATGCCTACATTTGTCAAAAAAAAAAAAGGGGGGGGGAAATAAATGAATCAAGTTCAGTCTAGCCACAGTCAGGTATTTTATGAAGTCAGCTGACTTGATTTCACACCCTGCTGTTCTAGAATACAGTCTGAGGTACAGGAAAATGTACACAACTCCGAGTTACTTCAAGGATAGGTGACTCAGCACTTAGCACATGGAGCAGGAGAACATTTTCCTTTCGCTCATGTGATGCTGCAAGTGTGGCTGGAAAGGGCAGGACTTGTGGTGTGTGGTGTGAGCAGGTGGAAGAAAAATGTTTCAGAGCAGCCTGGCAAAGCCTGTGTGTTGCAGTGTTTGCCAGGAGCAGTTCTTTGGTGGATCTGTTGGCTTGGCCAGTATTTCAGGTTTGGTGGTGTTGCTGACAGGGCAGCTGTGCTGGGTTTGTGATGCAGTGTGTGTATGCTTTCCTTGCAGCTCGCTATCAGAACGAGCTGGCAGGTGTGGACACGGAGCTGCTGGCTGAGCGATTTTACTATCAAGCCCTTTCTGTTGCACCACAAGTTGGTGAGTGACTTCCGCTGAGTTTATAGTTGTTAAAATCATGTTGCTGCAACATAAGAACAATGTAGTGCTACTGGTACAGTACAATGTAGTGATATAAACTGGTTAGGTTTATATCCTGCAGCTGAGAGAGGACTGCTTTTATCCTCTGGTTAAAGTTGCTTCCTTCAATAACTTCTTTTGCTGGGCTTTTAGATTTTTTTCTTGGATTTTCTCTGTCTCTGCTGGGAGGTTTTCAGGTGATTTTTTTTTTGCTGGCAAGCCAAACAGAGGAGTTAAAGTCACTGCTTTTTGCCAGTGACCTCACTGTACTCATCTGAAAAGCTCAGACTTCCCTGACTGTGGTGATGCTGCACCTCTGGGCTAAGCACATATCCGGCTCCCCATTGCCAGGAGCAGAGCATTATCAGTCACCTTCCCCTTTTACCCATGGAAAAAAAAAATCTCATGTGCTGCTTCCTCCTTCAGAAGTGCCTCCTTCTGGGAACACATCAGTGCTGGTGCAGAGGCTGTGTCGTACCTAAAGTGTGTGATTCCAGCCAAATGTCCTCTACGTGCTGTCTATGCAGAGTTCTCACGGAACTGTTTGAAAGGCTGTTCCCAGATAAAAGTGGCAAAAGTTTCTGCACCACAGGAGCTGCAACAGAGCTCTCAGATGCTGATAAGATGATTTCTCTATCAGGCAATATGGGGTCAAGGCCACACCACTGTAAATACAAAGGAGGAGGTGTGGTTTGCTCTTCTGTCTTACATAGATAACTGGCACAAGGTGGGGAGGATCTAAAAGCTCTGTAAAATGGAAAACAGACCCTGCATGGTGGAAGGATTGAGTAGTCCAGACCTTTGTGCTACAGCTTTACTACTCTTTGTGTCTCCTGCCTTCCCTCCTGTGTGCAAATGTAGTGAAAGGATCTATTTTCTAGTCAGGGCCATTGGAGAATTCCAAGTAAATTCCATTGCCCCTCTCCTTGTGACAGGAATGCCCTTCAACCAGCTGGGGACACTGGCAGGGAGCAAATACTACAATGTGGAAGCAACCTACTGCTACCTACGCTGGTGAGTTCCTGCAGATCTGCATGTCCTGGGCAGGGAAGCCATGCTCTGCTGCTGTGGGGGCCAGATCCCCTTCTTAATTGGAACTTGGCACTGGTTTTGGCAGATAAATTTTAGGGGAGGGGAAAGAAATGAGTTTGGTTTGTCCTTGAGTGGGACTAATGAGAGTGAGCCTTGGTCAAACCAAACCACCCCACTGTGCTGGTTACTAATCACCTGTGCAGGGCTGCACCTGGAGGGCTTTCTCCAGGCTGGAAGTGGGTTGGAGGTGCTGAGGGAGGCACCCTATGGTATGAGCAGGGTAGAATTCCTGGCTTGAAGGCACTGATTTGAGAATATGTGCAAGCAGGGCAGGTGGAGGCTGTGAGGCAGCTCAAGTGCAGTTTGCAGCCATTGGAGGAAATTTAGGTGCCCAGCATGTCCAAAAAGCAGCACTGGCTACTTGTGCTCATGCCTCAATGCCTGAATAACTTGCTGGTGAGTTAAAGGCCTAAAGTGTGAGCAGCCTTGTGGAGAAATAACTTTGGCTGTGTCCTGTTTTGGTGCTTTAGCATCCAGTCTGAAGTGTCCTTTGAGGGTGCCTATGGGAACCTGAAGCGGCTCTATGACAAAGCAGCCAAGATGTACCATCAGCTGAAGAAATGTGAGACCAGGAAGTTGTCTCCAAGCAAGAAAAGGTAAGAAGGGAAGGAAAAGGAGAGATGCAGGCTGAGAGTAATGTCTTTGTGGGGAGTGGAGTTGGTAGATGGGCCATTTCAGCACGGTGATTGTTCCCAAATTTTGAAAGCCCCACTCTAGATCCCAATCTTGCTGTCCTGGGTTGTAATTTCAGGAGCAAAGCTAAATGCTGGCCAGGTGTAGAGTTTGCATTTAGGGATTTTTCTCACTCTTCCCTGGAGCTGGGGGCTGTTCATGAGGGTTGGGGCATAGTGGTGAAAGTTGGCAGTATCAACTGTCTTCTTTCTCTCCAATTTCATCAGAATGGACTTTTCAGTTGATTTACCTGTTAACAGAGCTCTGTCAGCCCAGCCCTGTCTGTGATAGGGCACCTGATTTACAGTGTTGTCTCCTCCATCTTTTTAGAGGAAAAGACATTAAGAGGTTGCTGGTGAGCTTCATGTACCTGCAGAGTCTTTTGCAGCCAAAGAGCAGGTAAGGTTATGGTAAATTGTGTCTTCTATTGACAACTGACAGGAGCAGGCACTCAGAATTGGAAGGGATGGTTTCCTGTAGGATAACAGTGCCTGTGCTGAGGCTTTCTGCCAAAAGGCCCAAGACTTTGGCCTATCCATACATGGAACATGAAGATTGTGTTTCCAGGGGAGGCTGAAATTCCAAAGGGTATTCTTGTCTAAATCAAGCCAGCCTGAGTGCATGCTGAGCTCCTGGGCCTTGCAGCTGTCTCTGTGCTGTGCTTTGGTGTTTGCTTACCCCATGCAGTCAGCAGATGCTTTTTTCTGGAAAGCCCTGTATTCAGGCTGATGGGACAGCAAAGAGTTGCTGTCCACATGTCTGGGGCTGTTCACTGCTCTTGGAAGTCTGTAACTCAAACACCTTGTTCAAAGAAACACCAAAACCTGGTTGTGTTGGAATAAATGGGAAGCTTTGTATAGCTGTGTGATTTTTGGCTTTTAGATTTTTTTATTGGATTTTCTCTGTTTCTGCTGGGAGGTTTTCAGGTGATTTTAAATAAACCTCTTGAAACAGAAGAGGTGTTTTAAAGGGCTTAAATACAAGCTGCAGTTAAATTCATTGTGGAATGGTTTAAGTTGGAAGGGACCTTTTGGGGGTCTGGTACTTCCCAAAGTAGTGTTCACTGTGAAAGTAGATGCAGATGTGAAGTTGGATGAGCTTGCTCAGAGTCTCATCACACTGAGTTTTGACTGGATCCAAGGACAAAAATCCCACACTTTTCTGGTCCCCTTCCCAGTGTTTGACCACCTTCAGCACAGAATTTTTTTCTCCTTGCATCTGATCTCATTTTTCTTTTCTGTAGTGTGTACCCATAATTTCTCTTCTTTTTGTTGTGCACCATTAAGGAGAGTCTTATTCCATCCTCTGTAATCTCCTGTGTGGCATCTGGAAACAGAAGACAACCCCTCCATGCCCTCTGTCTTTCAGGCTGAACAAACTCAATTCTCTTTGCCTCTTCTCTTACATCATGTTCTCTGTTCCTCTGCTGGACTAAATCCAGCTTGTCAGTGTGGTTTTGTTTGGTGTTTTTTTTTGTCCTGTGGACCCAAAAACTGGGTACAGTGCTCCAGATGCCACCTTGTGAGTGCTGGATGGAGAGGAGAACACATCCTCAACCTGCTGGCTCTGCCCTTGTTCATGCAGCCCAGTGTGAGATTGACTTTCCAATACTGCTTATACTGAGGTGGAACTACAAGAGTCCTCTAATATCCACTCAACACGTATTTAGAACATAAGAAATTTGGGAATTACTTTAATTTCCCAAGCACACTTTCCCCTGAAAAGGCTTTGCTGGAAATTCCACAAGCAGGTCTGTTTTGTAACTGGGAGGCTCCCACAGCCCATTGGATTGATCTCGTGGATGCTTCCTTTGAAGGACTGAATAGCTCTGGAGGATTTTGGAATATTCTGGGCTACAGGAGAGACATGGGAGGAGGAAAAACTGAGTCCTGTGTGTGTGGCAGTGTAATACTTTTCACTGAGCAGAGCATTTAGAACTTTTGCTCCCTTTAGCATTTAAGTGCTTTGTGGATCTTAATGGCCACTGCTGAGCTCCCAGGGGAAAACTAACCTGGTTTTTGGTGACCCTCTCTAGGTATTGTTTGTCTTTAGTTAAGCAGCTTTAAGGAGGAAAACATAATCTGATTAATGTCACTTACTTCCCTGGTGCTTCACTCTGCCTAGTGCTGAAGGACAGCCTGGCTGCCAGTTTTGGTTCAGTTTCTGGGCAGACATGCCAGGAGCAGAGTCTTAAGTTAATAACTCTTATTTATTTTTTACTCTTTTTAAGCTCTTTGGATTCTGAGCTGACATCTCTCTGCCAGTCTGTGCTGGAAGATTTCAACCTGTGCTTGTTCTACCTGCCCTCTCCTCCTAACCTGAGCTCAACTAGTGAAGATGAAGAAGAGTATGAGAGTGGCTACTCCTTCCTTCCTGACCTCCTGATCTTTCGCATGGTCATCATCTGCCTTATGAGCGTTCACAGCCTCAAGAGGGCAGGTGAGGAGTGCTTTGTTTGGGAATTTCCTGGTGAACATCCAGCAGCACAGCCTGGGGATGCTGTCTGAAGTGGTGTAGTGCTCACCTCCTCCATCTCACTGTGCTGTGTGCTTGCAGGTTCCAAGCAGTACAGTGCAGCCATTGCCTTCACGCTGGCTCTCTTCTCTCACCTGATAAACCACGTCAATATTCGCCTCCAGGCTGAGCTAGAGGAAGGGGAAAATCCTGTCCCAGCCTTTCAGAGTGATGGCACAGGTAAGAGAGCAGAGATGGCAGCACCTGGGTCTCCCAGGCTGCCTGCCTACAGGGCTGTCTTTCCCCTTTCTCCCCTGGGCATGGGTTCTGTAGGGTGTACTGAGGTGTATTGATTTTTAATTTCTGGTGTGGAATCCCCAAAGGGGTTTGATGTGCCGAGTTGTCTCCACTTGGATGCTCTGAGTATCTGAATCACCTCAGAATGGACATGTTGCTTTCTTTATAAGGAGATTACTTTCTGTATCTCTTGGCAGCTCGTTCATCATCTGTTTAACCCAATCTGAGGTTTTATTCTCTGGCTCTGTTTGCTGTTGTTTACTGGCTGCTTTCCTGCTCCACTGAGGAGATGATCTTGGGTAAAACACCCAGGCTGAGGGAGGCAGAAGGGGCAGAGTGGGGCTGAAGGAGACAGGCCCTCTCAGCATACCTCAGTTCTGCTCAGGCAAGGGTGTTTTATTGAGCAGTGACTAAAACTGCTAAACCTTTCCCCTGCCAACAGTCCATTGGCAATACCTCACTGAATGCAGGGTGAGGGAGTTTCTGGTAAAAGCAGCAAGGAATGACCCCTCCTCTGCAGGTTTTGAAGCTGTCACAGTGATTCAGGGCTGCTAGAAAGGCTCCATACGTGTTGGCCAGGAAAGGGATTGATCAGGTCAGTGTAATTACAGAGCACATGTCCCTGCCCTGCTCTGTGGGTCACTCAGCTCTTTGACAGTAGAAAGCTGGGGAGGAGAGTTAGAATTCAGCTGTGTTCTATTCTGGTTTAGCAGCCTTGAGCACTGAGGCTGCCTGGTAGCAGAATATTATATATATATTATATATATATATAGAGTATTATATATATAATATATAGTACTATATATATATAGAGTATTATATATATAATATATAGTACTATATATACAGAGAGTATTATATATTATATATTGTATTATATATAGAGAGAGTATTATATATATTATATATAGTACTATATATACAGTGTTATATATATTATATATAGTACTATATATAGAGAGAGTATTATATATATTATATACAGTACTATATATATAGAGTATTAGATATATTATATATAGTACTATAAATATGGAGTGTTATATATATTATATATAGTATATATATAGAGAGAGTATTATATATATTATATATAGTACTATATATATAGAGTATTAGATATATTATATATAGTATTTTATATATATAGAGTGTTACATATATTATATATAGTACTATATAGAGAGTATTAGATATATTATATATAGTACTATATATAGAGTATTATATATTATATATAATATATATAATACTCTATAGAGTATTATATAATATAATAGTAATATAGTAATAATAAAATTGTGATATATAATACTCTATATAGAGAGTATTATATATTATATATAGTACTATATACATATAGAGTATTATATGTATTCTATATAGTACTATATATAGAGTATTATATATTTTATATATAGTGCTATATATATAGAGCATTATATATATTATATATAGTACTATATATATAGAGTATTATATATATTCTATATAGTACTATATATAGAGTATTATATATATTATATGTAGTACTGTGTATATATAGAGTACTATATATATTATATATAGTACTATATATATATAGTATTATATATATTATATGTAGTACTGCCAGCTTGGGTAGTGGGAATTCTGACTTGCCAAGTGTTTTTAGAAAGTGAATCTTGTCTTCTGGGGTTACTTATTCTGCAGTGGAAGACACTGATGGAGGTGATGGCTGACGTTTGCAGCCCTGGACCCCGGGCTGGCCAGCAGCAGCCTGTGGGACACACTGTGACTTCAGTTTTTATTCTCCCTGTAAATGCAGATGAGCAGGAGCCACGGGAGCCTGTGAACTCAATTGAGAAGGAAGCTGAAGCTGAGCTGGCCAATCATCAGCCCAGTGAGGAGCAGAGGAAGAACGACTGCAAGAAAAGCAAGAAATATTCTCGTCTGTCCTGCCTGCGCCGCCGCCGGCACGCCCAGAAGGTGGATGAGAGCGACCTGAGTGAGGGCTTTGACTCTGACTCCAGCCAGAGCTCCATCAAGGGCAGTGATGGCTCAGAGAGTGGCTCAGAGAAGAGTGATGAGGAAGCAGAAGCTGCTTTTGATGTGGAGACAGACTCCGACATGAACAGCCAAGAGTCTCGGTCTGACTTGGAGGACATGGAGGATGAACCGGGTGAGGAAGGAAGCAGCCAAGGCAAAAGTGGGCCCAAAGAGGCCTTAAAAAACTGTGTGGATAGCAGTGGCCTGGGGGACTCCAAGAGCCCAAGCATCTCTAAAAGTGAAGCTGTGGATCCAGCAGTCAATGGGCCAGCTTCCCTGAGCACTAATGATGCAAGCATAGCCAGTAATCTGCAGGCCATGTCCACCCAGCTGTTCCAGACCAAACGCTGCTTTCGCTTGGCTCCCACCTTCAGCAACATCCTCCTGAAACCCAGCAGTGAAGCACCTGCCTTGAAGGATGGCATGGAGAGCAAGCCATGTGTCAATGGAGATCTGGAGAAGCCCAGCTTGGCAGAGCAAGGTAAGGACCTTGTTATTGCAATTATGTGTAGAAAACTGCAAACTATAGCAGTCTGTTTGCTAAATTCACCGTTTCTCATGGTGCAAGCTCTCTCCTTTAGGTAGGTCTGGAGGAGCAGGTTGGCCAGGTAGTGGGCAGGCCTTGGGTTGGACTTTCCCTGACAGAGAAGCTTTACTTCTACTGCCCAGCATGCAGGAATATGTGCACTGAGCAAAGGAATCACCTGTAGCTAGGCAGAGTTACCAGAACTACCATTGTTCTGCCCACTAAATGCTGAGCAGCTGTGATAATCACAGGCCCACAGGCTAGTTTGTTTGGAAGGGACTTGAAATTTGAAAGCCCATGTCATTTCATCCCTCTTTCACTAGGCTCCTCCAAACTGCATCCAACCTGGCCTTAAACACTTCAGGAATGGGGCAGCCACAGCTTCTCTTGGCAACCTGTGCCAGAGCTTCACCACCCTCACAGGGAGCAATTTCTTCCTAATACCACATCTAAATTTACCTTTCTTCAGTTTAAAGCCATTCCTCCTTGTCCTTTGTCAAAGTCCCTTTCCAGCTCTCTTGGAGTCTCTTTAGGCCCTGGAAGGAGCTCTGAGGTCTCCCTGGAGCCTTCTCTAAGCTGAGCACCACCAGCTCTCCCAGCCTGTGCCCAGAGCAGAGGAGCTCCAGAGCCCTCAGATCATCTCTGTGGCCTCCCCTGGGCTCACTGCAGCAGCTCCTTGTCCTCCCTGTGCTGGAGGCAGCTCTGCAGGGCAGGGTCTCAGCAGAGCAGAGGGGCAGAATCCCCCCTCACACGCTGCCCATGCTGCTGGGGATGAGCCCAGGGCAGTGTTGGCTTTCTGGGCCGCCAATGTGCTGAGCTTCTTGTCAACCCATCCCCCCAAATCCTTCCCAGGGCTGCTCTCCATCCGTTCTCCCCCAGCCTCTTTGTGTTTTGGGGTGCCCCAATGCAGGTGCAACATTTCTCCTTGCCCTTGCTGTTCCTTCTGGGCTTGGCACAGACCCAGCTCTCCAGCCTGTCCAGGTTCCTCTGGTGCCATCCCTTCCCTCCAACGTGTGACCCCACCACACACCTCTGTTGTCAGCAAGCTGGCTGAGGGTGCACATGATCTCAATTTGTGACACCAGCAAAGATGTTAAAACATGTTGGTCCCAAGCCCTGAGGATGCCCCTTGTCACTGCTCTCCCCTTGGACATGGAGCTCTTGGCTGCAGCTCTTTACCCATGACTATCCAGCCAAGTCTTTGCTCACTAAGTGATTTATCCATCAAATCCATGTCTGTCCAGTTAAGAGACACAGATCTTGTGCAGGACAGTGTCAAATGCTCTGCACAAACCCAGGTGGGTGAGGTCAGTTGCTCTTCCCTCATCCTCCACTGCTGTAGCCCCATTGTAGAAAGCCAATGAATTTTCAGGCATGATTTGCTATAGTGAAGCCATTTTGGCTCCAGAGGATGATTCCAGCAGGTATTAAAAATTGCATCTTCCATTTTCCCTTTGTGAAATACCTAATCACACACTTAGTGTTGCTTCTGGTGACAGGGCAGATGGGGGACAGGAGGTTGTCCATGAGATGACAGATGATCAGCCCAATGCTCTTGTAGAAGTTAGTGTGGAAGATGTGACCCAGGTGCATGTGAGAGGTGTTGAGGGTGTCTCTGTGACCCCCCAGATGTAGAAGTTTGTGTGGAAGATGTGACCCAGGTGCATGTGAGGGGTGTTGAGGGTGTCTCTGTGACCCCCCCAGATGTGCCTCACTGACTGTTCATGCTGAACCCCTGGGAGATGTGCAGCAGGTGGAGCTGCCACGTCTCCATTTCCACTCAGCTTACACAACTCAGTGATGTTCTGGGCAAAAACAGCTGGAAAGGGAGATCTGATAAACTACAGGGAATTGTTTGTGATTCACATAAAACTACATGGGCCTGTTCAGTCTTGTTTTTCATTCCTCCCAGCTTCCCTGGAGCAAGGAAACATTCTGCTGCCAAATCCAGCTGGCCTGCAGCACTGGCAAGATCCAGGCTTTGCCTGGGCCAGCATTTGAAGGCACAGTATTAGATCATGTTAGTGTTGACTGGCTCCTGGCACTGCTCCATGGCCACATGAAAGAGATGGGGGAAGAAACAAATGGGCTTTGGTCTGTTTAACCCTTTCCCTCAGTGGTTTTCTTGCTGTTGTGTGGCCACAATGCCTTTACAGGTGTAGAAAACGAGAGATGGAATGAGTTCAGTGTGAACCCTCGTGTGTGCTGTGTCCAAACTGCTCTTTCATGGTGTAACACCGTCAGTGGTGGGCTCTGAATAAATAATTTCCTTTCTTGTGACTCTGAGGGTTTATGGGATGCCCACAGATGTGCTCATGGGAAGCAATGGTAGACTGGAAATGAGGATCTGTAGCAAAATGTGTGGGTGATTCCCACCTTGACCTCAGATCCCTTGTGTCACATGTGATTCCACTGGCAATGGCTTTGAGATCCTCAGCTCTGGAGAGTTAGAAGAGTGAAGAATATGTTCAATATTTAAAACTCTCTGACTCACAGGACAGCCCTGCCATTTCCTGCTCTTGCCTGGCTCCAAGCTGGGAGCATGTTGGCCTCAGGGCTCTGCTCCCTGCAGGAACTGCTCTGGGCCCTGGCACTGCCCCACTCTCTCAGCCTTGAGGCTGCTGCAGAGCTTAGGCATTGGTCAGACCCTCACAGGGAGATTTTAACCCCCTTATCCCAAGGAGAAGGAAATGCAGGGGTGATACACTCCAGTAACAGCACAGGGGACAGGGACTGGTTTTGTGAGGATGTGTGGAGGCACCTGGTATTTCAACTCAATTATTACCAGCCCAATGCTGTTCTGACTCGACATCCAGGGGGTTTAACAGCTGCCATCTTGTGCTTGCCTTTGTTTTCCAGATGATGTGTCTGACTCTGAAGAAAGCATTTCAAGTAACAAATCCTGCAGAAATGAGCGATCCCTTCAGGAGAAGTTGGAGATTGTGACCAATGAAGGGCTGCTGCTTACTGTCAAGGTGTTCCTGGACTGGCTGAGGACAAACACAGACCTCATCATTATGTGTGCTCAGGTGGGGATGGTGTCAGGGCTCTCTACAAGGTTGTGACAGCTTCCCTGGGCTGGTTGTAGTCCTGGGCAGAGGGTGATGTTATGTCCCCCCACCAGCTGAATTAAGCTAATCTGGATCTAAGAAGGATGGTGAGGTTTACTCTTCATAAAGTATTCTGAGGTTTGTTTACATCTGTCATGATATTTTCTATGGCCTTTTGTGTTCTGTTCCTGCAGAGCTCTCAGAGCCTGTGGAACAGGCTGTCTGTGCTCCTGAACCTTCTGCCTTCTGCTGCAGACCTGCAGGAATCAGGTACTGGAGAAAGAGGTGGCAATGTCATGTTTCACCAAGCCTAGTCATCAGTGATTATTCCCAGGGTGTGTGAGAGCCCAGGGAGGGAGATTTCCTAGTAGCAGCTTTTAGAAGCACAATAGCAAGTAAAACATGCATGTGTTGTTTTTATTTGTTTAACCACCATCCAGTTAAATACTGTCCCATGGTCTTTAGAATCATATAATCACAGAACATCCTGAGTTGGAAGAGACCCCTCACCTCACTCCAGGATTGAATTCAACTCCTGGCCCTGACAGGACAACCCCAAAAATCACACACAAAAATGCTGTGTTGATGCATGAATGTGGCTGGCAGCATACTGAAACACTGGCACCAGCATGTGAGAATCCATGTGTGGCCAGCAGGAGTGAAATTCACTGCCAGTAGCAGGAGTAAGGCTGTGATTTTGCCATGGTAATCTTGGAAAATAGTTTCAGAGCTCCAGCTGCTCATGATGTGCTCTGTGCCTGTTCAGGGCTGAGCCTGAAGTTCCCAGTGGTTTATGAGAAGCAGAGTTTAAACAGGGCTGCTCATCAATAGGTGGGAAAGCTGTCCCTCCAAACAGGAGATTTCTCAGAGTCCCCTGGCAAGTTGTTTGGGAGAGTTAACTCTTTATATTGTGGGTGGTCTGGTGGTTCCTCCTTAAGCAGGTGCTCACAGATCATGTTTCATTAACACCTCTGCCCCAGCCATTACAGATCATGTGCCTTAAAGCAGTTCCCCTCTTAGCCCCCTCACCAGTTCTGCTCTCCTTCTGTCCCTCCTGTCCAGGGCTGGCCCTGTGTGATGAAGTCAAGGACATGCTGAGTGATGCTGAGCTGCCAGACCTGAGGGCCAACCTGCTGCTCCCTGAGGACGTGGCCCTGCGCAATCTCCCCCCTCTGAAAAATGCACACAAGAGGTTCAACTTCGAGCAGGACCGGCCCATCTTCTCTGCCCTCGAGGAGGTCAGTTGGGCTAAATCCTGGAAAAAACCAGATACAGCCTGGATTGTTGTGTTATGTGCTTCATTTTCCTAGCACTGAAGGCTTGAGCAGAGGTTTATAGAGCAGGTGTTGCAGGGTGCTGCTGGTTTTTCCTAAAATTTTCTTGGGTTGAGGAAGCCCCAGACTTGCTGGCACTGTGACCGTGTTCACAGGGGTCTGAGGATGAGGGAAGAGATGAGGATCTGACTCCATGTTTCAGAAGGCTTGTTTTATTATTTTATTATATATATTATATTAAAACTATACTAAAAGAATAGAAGAAAGGATTTCATCAGAAAGCTAGCTAAGAATAGAAAAAGAAGGAATCAATAACAAAGGTTTGTGACTCAGACAGAGTCTGAGCCAGCTGACTGTGATTGGCCATTAATTAGAAACAACCACATGAGACCAATCCCAGATCCACCTGTTGCATTCCACAGCAGCAGATAATCATTGTTTACATTTTGTTCCTGAGGCCTCTCAGCTGAAAAAATCCTAAGGAAAGGATTTTTCAGAAAATATCACAGCCACAATTCACCTTGCAGCAGTTTTGGAAGGGCTGTGTGTCCATGGGGGAATTCACTATGACAGTGTTCACAGGGGTCTGAGGATGAGGGAAGAGATGAGGATCTGACTCCATGTTTCAGAGGGCTTGATTTATTATGATATATATTACATTAAAACTATACTAAAAGAATAGAAGAAAAGGTTTCATCAGAAGGCTGGCTAAGAACAGAATGGAGTCATAACAAAGGTTTGTGGCTCGGGCCCTGTGTCCAAGCCAGCTGACTGTGATTGGCCATTAATTAGAAACAACCACACGAGACCAACCACAGATCCACCTGTTGCATCCCACAGCAGCAGATAATCATTGTTTACATTTTGTTCCTGAGGCCTCCCAGCTTCTCAGGAGGAAAAACCCTAAGGAAAGGATTTTTCATAAAGGATGTCTGCGACACTGGCACCCCTGAACCTTCTGGCCAGCTGTAGCCTTTCCTGCAGTCTCAGAGATCACAAACATCCATCAGAACTGGGAATTTAATATCAGTTCCTGCCTTTTTCATAAGTGTGAGCTGCAGGTGGGCACTGCCTCAGGCTCACCCTGCCTGTGGTGGCTGCTGACTTCTGTTCTTCCTTGCAGTCTGTCGTGCGCATCTGCTGCATCCGGAGCTTCGGCCACTTCATCACCCACCTGCAAGGCAGCATCCTGCAGTTCAACTCAGAGCTTGGCATCTTCATCAGCATAGCACAGTCTGAGCAAGACAACTTGTTGCACCAGGCCCAGGCTCAGTTTCACATGGTGAGTTGGTAGAGGTGAATGAATCCTCTGTATTCTCCGTTTCCTGTAGGTTACTATTAGGTTGTAAGTATAATCACAGATCTTTGGGGGGAGATGAAAGTTCTGTTTCTTAAAGCTATTCCACTTTTCACTCTGCAAGTGTATGCTAGTGTCAGCTGTGTGTTTCCTGCTAACTGATATGGAGGTTTGGTTTTGTAACTAGGCTGCAGAGGAAGCTCGACGGAACAGGCTCATGAGAGACATGGCTCAGCTTCGGCTGCAGGTAGGAGACTCCAGGTCCAGCCTGAAAACCAGCAGGGTAGTGGCTGGAATGTCACAGCCTGGGAAGGGAAGGAGGAACTCTCTGCTCCTGTCCCACACAGAGGCACTAACTCCATTCTGCATAGATTGAACTGTGGAGTATCTCAGGTTGGAAGGGATCCCATAGGGGTCAGGAGTCCCAAATTCCTGCTCCTCACATGATACTTTAAACTGAATGTCCACAAGTGTAGTTCAGGCACTCCTTGAGCTCTGGCAGGCTTGGTGTGACAGCCACTTTCCTGGGGAGCTTGTTCCTAAATGTTCAACCCGAACTTGCCCTGATGCAGCAATGAAGCTAGAAATTAAATGTACCATTTCCTCGTTGCTGCTCACTGGAGAGAGGAAGTCGGCACCTCCTGCTTGCTGACCCCTTGAGGAAGGTGTAGGCTGTGATGGAGTGGTTACCCTCAGCCTTCTCTGCCCCAAGCTGAGCAAACTGAGTGACCTCAGCCACCTGAGGCCTTTCACCATCCTGGTTATCCCACTCTGGACACTCTCTAATATTTCAGTGCCCCTCTTACATCAAGGTGCCCCAAACTGTTCCCAGTACTCAATGTGGGGCTGCACTGGGCAGTGCAGAGTGAGATCCTCTTCTCTTGCTGACCCTGTGCTGCATCCAGCCCTCTGTTCTGCATGCTTGGAGGTTGGAAGGGCCTGGTGGGGGTTTGCAGGGCAAGTCTTGTCCTGTTTGATGATTTGTTTCAGCATCAGTGTGAAGCGAGTGTCTTTGCATGTGTGTTTTCAGCTGGAGGTGTCTCAGCTGGAGGGCAGTCTCCAGCAGCCCAAGGCACAGTCAGCCATGTCTCCTTACCTGGTTCCTGACACCCAGGCCCTCTGCCAGCACCTGGCTCTTGTCAAGCAGCTGGCCACAAGTGGGAGGTTCATCATCATCATCCCTCGAACAGGTATGGGGACTCCACAGCAGGAAACTGCAGGTGGCTGCCCCCCTGACCCTTCTGTGCTGGGAGCAGGCCCCAGGGGCCTGGGTGGTGGCTTTCTCTCCTCCTGCCCTTATCCTTCATCTGGAACAGTTGCAGCACCCTTTTGATGTGTTGCTTTTGGGGCCTGTTCTGTGTGTGGCCCATGCTTGGGATTTTGACAGTGTGTCAGAAGAGCTGAGAGGAGAGAGCTCCTGTTCCCTCCATGCCTCTCCTGTGGGAGCTGTGCATTGGACAGTGTTCTGTGGAGTGGGGAGTACTTGGCACCTCTGGATTAGTTTGCAGAAGTGGAACTGTAACCAAGATGGTTTTTTTTGGTTTTTGTTCCTGTTAGTTATCGATGGCCTGGACTTCCTGAAAAAGGAGAACGCCGGTGCTCGGGACAGCATTCGGTATCTGGAGGCAGAATTTAAAAAGGGAAACAGGTGAGAGCAGGACAGGGTGGGATTTTCCTTTGCTTTTGGAATGGGTGGGCTTTGGGTGGGAGCAGGCTGTGGATCCCTTGGAGCAGAATGAGGAGTGGGCCAAGGAAAAGCCAGAGTTCAGGAATGGGAAGGAGCAGATGCAGCAGCTGGCTCTTCAGATGTGCTGGTAGCTGCTGCTCAGCTGTGAAGTGCAGAAGCTTCTGAGCAATGGTGGGGTTGCATCTCTGTTGCTGTATAAACTGGAGCAGTGACCTTTGCCACTGCACTGAGTGCTGGAGGAGCTGAATTGTGCCTGGGTGCTCTGCAGAAACACAGCTGGAAGGACAAACTGCATCTCTGGGGTCCTTATCAGGGCTGGTGGGCTTGAGACATGTGGGAATGGTGCTGAGGCAGGGAGGTGATGGAAGGGATTCACAGAGCATTCCTTGCATGGACCTTTGGGTGTTAAATTTGGGTTGGAGGAAGCCCTGCAGCACCCAGAGGAGCTGCTGACTTCAGCCTATGTGACACTCTCCATATGAGCTCAGAGACTCTGCTTTCTCCTTAGGTACATTCGTTGCCAGAAAGATGTCGGGAAGAGCTTTGAGAGGCATAAATTGAAGAGACAAGATTTAGATGCCTGGTAAGATTTCAGCATCTGAAGATGTCTGAGCTGGGCTCACAGCAGGCAGGTGGCTTTGGGGAGAGGTGTTAGCACTGAGACCCATTGCAGAGCTTGTTCTATGTGAATAATGATGAAATTCCTTGGAGATAAGGACAGCCACCTGTGCATGTTACACAAAGCACTCTGTGCTCAGAAAGATCTCAGAAAAGTCCTTAATGACAACAGGAGAGCAACCCTGCTTTCCATTTATTGTCCTGAGCAGATGTGGCCTTCCCTGCTGACCTTCCCCTCTGTTTCTCTGTTCTGGCAGGAATCTCTATAAAATCCTGGACAGCTGCAAGCAGCTGACAGTGTCCCAGGGCAGTGGGGAGGATGACACCACAGGAATGGTCACCATCATCACAGGCTTCCAGCTGGAGGACCCCAGCTCCTTCTCAGTGCCCATGCAGGTCAGTAGCTCTTGTCTGCCTGAGCTGAGCCATTCTGCTTCCTAGCAAGGATATAATGTGATTAATTGGAAAGAGATTTTTTAAAAATGTTTTTACTTTGGCTGATCCCTGAAGTTTGGTTTCCCCAATTTTTTTGTTGAGATTCTGTATTCCCTCAAGGCTTCTTGATTTTGTGATACAGAATATTCTGGGACAGGTGAGAGAATTTAATTCCATGTCTCTGCAGGCCTCTTGTACCAGAGCAATGAGAATTGGGAGGATTTGGCCTTCCAGCTGTGCCAGGCTGCTGGAGAGTCCCCAGGCTGGGAATGGCAGGGCAAGTTATAAATTACCCACCTTTTTCTGTGTTTAAAAATTAACCTCCTGTTTTTCTGTGTTTGCTTACAGTCTGCCATCCAGGCAGCCGCCAACGCCAGCATAGAGATAAAAAATGTTCTGGAGTTCTACAAGCAGTGGAAAGAGATGGGCTGATGGTCAGAAAGGCATCGGGTTGGTTGGTGAACCTTTCTCTCCCCCTCTCGCAACGTGCAGCGTCTGAACGAAGGAAACAACAATCTGGGCGACACTTAAGACACGAAGAAGCAGCAGCAGCAACAGCAACAAAAATACCTACCCAAATGAATTAAAAAAAAAAAAAAAACAAAACAAAAATCCAAAGTGGGCATGCACACTGACACCCTCCACCTGCACCCTGAGCAGACAGGCTGTACAGCTCTGAGGGAGCCAGCTGCTCTGAGAGAGGCCCCTCGGAATGGGAGCGGCCGGGGCAGAGCTCTGCCCTTCTCCCAGTGGGCAGAGATGGGCGAGAGACAGGCAGTCCTTCATCCCCCTCCTTCCTCCCAAAGCTTGCTTGGCCAGCAGGAGCAGGCTGGTGGTTCAAAGCTTGGACTTCACTTCAGCAAAACCAAACCAGTGCAGCAGAAACGGAGCGCTCCGCCTCGGGGAAGAAGATCCAAAGAGTGTTTTGCTCTTGTTTGGCAATCTGGGGACAGGAAAGTGGATAGGATTTCTCTCCCCCTCCCATCCCCTCCTTTTGAATTAATTATTTTTCGAGGGTTTTTTTCCTTTTAATTTTTAGTTTTTATATATATGAATAATATTAAAAAGAAAAAAGAAGAGTTCCTTTGGGGTTTTGGATACTCTTCCAACATCAGAAAGAAAAGGAAACACTCTATTTAAAAGGGGGAAGAAGCTCTTAATATAATTTTTTTTTTTCTTAGAACAAGCATATTTATTTCCTTTCCCAGGCCCCCATGGAGCAGGCTCAGTGCAAAGGGATGTTGGCCTGTGAGGAGGGAGCAGCCCCATGTTGCACTCCACTCTCCCTGGGAGCTCCATGCTTCATGAGCATCACAAGCTCCACCACGCTGCTCCAGGGAGCCCACAGGACTCTGCCTCCATCCCCAGCTTCTCCCACTATGCATCAGACCTTGGAGAAAAGGAGGAATCTGGCAGAACTGCTGAAAGAGAGAGAGAAGAGCTGGGTGGGATTTATGCACCATTAAGGCTCAAATGCTTGGCTTGAGCACTGCAACACTGGGATGGAGCAGATGTCTCCAAAGGACCCAAAGCCTCTTTTTCATCTTTTCTTTTTTTTTTCCCTTTTTTTTTTTTCCCCACTAAATCTTTCAATAGGCTGTGGAGGAGGAAGGAGAATCTCAAAGCCATTATCTTCTGCTGGTTGTTCAATGCACCACTGCTGCAATGCTGTGCTAGAGATGGTGACAGAGCTGTGTCCCCTTTTCTCACATCCCTCTGGGCTGGCAGAGGCTGTGCAGGAGATTCACAGACTGCTCCCTGCTTTTGGCATCCCAAACAGGAGGGCTGATGCTACCTGGAAAGGTGCTGGAAGAGCTGGGAGGGATCCTGCAGAGCTCCATCCTGGCAGCATCTCACTCAGCCCGTGTCTGACACGCTGCCACTCGCATGTGAAGCTGCAGGTTGCTCCCAGGGCAGCAGGAGAGGGGCTGGGCAGTCTCTTCCTGCTCCCTCTTCTTGCCTCTGTGTGCCCACAAAGAGATGTCTCCATCCACATGAACCAGCAGCAGCTATGCAAGTACAAACCACTGGAGTCTTCTATCTGTCTGTGTTCTCACATGGGCCAGCCAGAAACTGCTACAGCCAGAGAGCAAAACTTGAGAAGCTGAGCCACATCCTCCACTCTGTGCAGGCTCTGAGCATGGTGTGTTGTACTGCAGGGGCAGGCTGTTCTTGTTTTCAGGTAAAAACTAAAAATACCAGCACAAGTACCAGAGGATTCATTTCTATTCCAGTTCCAGCTCCTTTACAGCACAGCAGAGGGAAATGCCAACCTGCCTGGTCCAGCTGGAGGGACAGGGCTTTCCCTGCAGGATCTTCTCCTGAAACTCACAGTGCTTTGCTTGGCTAAGCCAAGAGAAGGCCATGTGCAGGACAGCAGGGCAGAGACTGGCACACCTTGGGGATCTGAGATGGGTTGTGAAGCTCCCAGTCACTCTTCCCCTCCTGTGGTTTTATTTGAAGTCATTTGTTTGTGGAGCTCATTGTTTCTGTTCAATGGGGTGGGAAATAAGAAGGGAATCTCCTTGTGGGACTGTTGTTGGGTGAAGCCGTCCTTGTCTGGTGGGGGGCACGGAGTTGATGTGCTCTGCTGAAGAAACCCCCCCTGATCCTGGGGTCTGGAGGTCCCTGGGGCTGAGCTTGGTGTGTTTGTCCTGAGAGCCTCAGTGTGACCCTTGTGGCTGGTGAAGAGAAGCATTGCAGGGCTGTGGGCAGAGCAGTGAGGAGCTGGGGCAGCTTCAGGCTGAGCTTTCCTTGGGTCCTGGCTGGACCTTGAGGGGAGAGAGAGGAGCAGTAGAGGTAAAGCAGCAGCCCAGAGGGAATTCCTGTCTCGCTGGTGGCAAGTGTTTCACTTGATGGCAAATGTTTTCAGTTCTTGCAGCTCCCACAGCTGTGCAGGGTGGCAGCTGGGAGCCACAGCTGGCCAGGCTGAGGAGGAGCTGTGTCCTGCCTCACTGAGGCCCTGGTGGGCACAGATCCAGTTAAGAACAAAGCAAATAAACTCATTTTCTGTAACCAGAGGCAGAGGAGCTGCTGTGAGCCCATGTGGGGCCGCATGGCAACAACAGGGGCTGCTCACAGCTCTCCTTTAGTCGCTGCTCTGCTCCCTGAGGGGTTGGTTTGATATTCCAAGGTTTTGCATACCTGCAGGGGAGAAAGGGGAATCCTGACTGCCCCGTGGCACCTTCCCCTCTGGGCTGGATGGGGAGGGATTGTGACCTCTAAAAAGGGTCCCTGTGCTGCTCTCCTCCTGTGCTTGAGGAGCTGGTGAATGGTTTCAGGATTTGCATCCCCAGTCAGAGACAGCTGGAGCTGAAAACCTGGGAGGCTGCAGAGTGTGGGAGCAGCCCTGGGGACATGGCCTGGAGTGTCCTGCAGCCAGCCTGGCCTTCTGAGGGGGCTCAGCACATCATCCCTGGCCTGGGTAAAGCAAAGCTCTGCCCATCCCAACCCTCAGGGTGAGCTGGAGTTCCCTCCTTGCACAGATCTGCTCTGTGCCAGGGCTGCTGGGTTTCTCCCCTGGCACGTTGTGCTGCTCAGAGCGGCTCTGGGGGTGGGGGCAAAGGGGATGGTGGGCTGTGGAAGGCTCTGTGCTGCCTCTGGCTGCTGTGGTGCTGCACTGGGGGCTCCCTGAGAGCCCCCCCACCCTGGGCATCCCAGTCCAAGCCAGAACTGGGAGCTGCCTCAGCAGAGAGCATCGGGCAGGGTGGAGGCTGCAGGCTCTGGTTCCTCCTGCACCAACCCCAGGCTTGGCCTAGAGCAGCTGTCACCCAGTCCAGTGGTGCCTGCTGTGCTGGGAAGGAGAGCAAACAAAAAAACCATCTCGTGGGCTGAAAAACAAGAGTGTTCATGTGTTCTGGTGTGTTTCTTGGGTTTGGTTTTTCTCTTCATTACCGCCCTGTGGAGCGGTTCGGGGTTTCTGGGGTGACCCCACGCTGGGAGGACACGGGGCTGTGGTGGCTGAGGCTGGCTGGGCTGTCCCCAAACCGTGGTGGACACAGTCACTGGTGCTTGTTGGGCTTCTGCTCCATGGTTTCATGGGCTGTTCCAAGCAGCTCCTCTGCTCCCATCCTTGCTTGGCTCGAGGCCACCCGCAAATGCCTCGGATTTTGTCTCACATCTTCAATTTTGGGCTCTTTTCCCTCTGGGTGTGCAGCAGCACTGGGCAGGGACAGGGTTGTGTTGCTGGCCTGGCCACTGGCAGGGAGGGGATGCAGGTTGGAGGCGAGGGACAATCACCTCTCCCCAGCCCTCGTGTGGCACAGGGGCTGCAGAGCCAGGGAGGATTGAGGGGATTGGGGCCCAGCTGGGTGAGCAGGGGCTGGGGCTCCCAGCAAATGTCTGACCATGGTCTGAGCACAGCAACTGGCTTAATAAAATACCAGATGTTTGTACTGTGTGTGTCCTGTGGTCATTTGGGAATCCCACCTTTCCTGAGCAGCTGAGTGCATTTTCCATCTGTAAATCCACCCAAATCTGCTTTGCTGACCTGAGTTTTCCAGTGAGGGAAGTGCAGGTGGGTCCTTCCTCAGCCCTGTGATGGGAACAGCATTTCCCTTGCTGTCTCTGTGATTGGGGCTGATTTCATCCTCTTGTTAGGGCTCTGCTGCCACAGGAGCACCCCTGGCCTAGCTCACTGGGGCCTTTGCAGCTCACTTTTAATGGGGGCAAGGGGATGGAGAAGTTTGAGACAAGAAAAATACAAATTTTTAAAATGTGTGGCTTCCCAGTGTCCATTCAAGGCGCTGGGAGAGGGTGGGCTGGGGGCTTCAGGCTGGAGATTGGGCTGTGAGGGTCCCACCATGCCCTGGTGCCAAGGGAGAGAAAATAAATGAATATTCCAGCCCTGAATTCATTGCTGTCAGAGCTCCTGATCTGCTTCCCCTGGCGGGGAGCATCGAGCACTGCCATAATTCTCTCTCCCTCTCGGGTTCATTGGAGGCTGCACTGGCGGGGAGGTCAGAGAGGGGGGTGTTAAAAGCAAACCCAGCCTCAGTCCCCAGCAGGGAAAGGGGCTGGGGGTGAGCCCTGCCCTGCCCCAGGGCTGAGCTGGCACAAAGGGACTGGCACTGCTCCATCCCCATCTGGGAATGCTTTTTCCTGCTTGGAAGGGCCGTGCCAAGAGGCTGCCAGCCCTGTACCCACCCCTGAGCCTCCATTGCTGCTCCATGCAGGATGGTGCTGCTGGGGGGCTCTGTGGGTGAGGGTTTGTCCCACAGCCCCTCATGGGAACAGACCGAGGTGAAATTGGAGCAGGAAAAGGCCACAGCCCTGGTCAGCTCCTGGTGCTGCTCCTGGTGGAGCTGAATCCTGCAGGAGCCCCAGGAGCTGCTGTGTCTGCCCCTGGTTGTTTCTCACTGCCTGTTCCCCTCCTCTCCTGTGCCTCAGCTTCCCACTTCTGCTCCAGACGTGTCATCCCCTGCCTCGAGCATCTCCCTGCCTGGGCTTGCTGTGCCTCGTGGCTTATTTTGGAGGCACCAGGGTCTGCACCCAGTGTAGAGACCCCAGACCCTCCCTGTGACCTCCTGCCAGCACCCCTGGGGACAGGGGGTGACTTCCCCTGTCAGCCCCAGAGCCCAGAGCACCTCGGGCTCCTTGGACAGGCCCGTGGGGGTTTTGGGCTGCTCGTGCTGTGCCCAGCACACAAATCCTCTGGGGATCAATAAATCCCCAAAAATTGGGGTTTTGAAATCATCTGTCCTCTGTCCCTGAGCTCCACCCAGCTGCAGCCTGGACCTTCTGCTGGCATTTGCCCCACGGGCTGAGCTGGAACTGCTGCCAGGTTCTGTTTGCCCAAATTTGCTTTCTCCACCTCTTCCCTCCCAGATCTCCTCCTGCAGTGTCACCTGGTGGGTGTTTGAGGCCCCGTGCACGGACCTGCATTTGTCACCTGCCCTGGCTGTCCCAGCTTGGTGGCATTTAAAGTCTGGTGCCCAGAGCTGTGGCATTTCAAGCCCAGAGCTGTGGCCCCTCCAGCTGGAGGCTCCCGTGTGCCCCCATGCACAGTCAGGGTCGTGTCTGCACTGGGGATTTGGGGGGATTTCAGCCAAAGCAAGGCTGTGGCAGGGCTGGGGATGTGAACAGCACAAAGCTGCCTTTGGGGCCCTGCAGAGCCCCATCTGCCAGGGCAAGAGCAGGACCAGGACCCCCAGCCCAAGGCAGGGGTGAGGAGGGGGCTCTGCAGGTGACCCCCATGGCCAGCACACCCCTGGTGCTTCTCACCAGCACTGCTCTGCATCCTCAGTGCAGATACTTTTGGATCATTTTGGGTTTCCCTTCCTCTCACTGTGTGAGTTTTGGGCTGAGGGGGTGTTTACTTTTTTTCATGGGGAGTCCAGGTGATTCCCTCATCTGAGGTGGGAAATCACCTGGACTCCTCATGAAACCCTGTTCCAGCTGGGAGATACTCCCAGCCCACCCTGCCTCAGTTTCCCCAGCCACCACAATCCCAAAGCAGCTCTTGGGCTGCCCTGCTGTCCCCACAGATCTTCTGGGAGGATGGGATCATGTTGCGGTACTGGGACCCCAGGAGCTCTGACTGTGTCCTCAGCTCCTTTCTGGTGGTGAATGAGACAGCCCTGGACACAATTCCTGCTGAGCAGGAGGGGATGGCACAGGGATGGGCTGGCACAAGGATGGGCTGGCACAGGGCTGGGCTGGCACGGGGATGGGCTGGCACAAGGATGGGATGGCACAGGGATGGGATGGCACGGGGATGGGATGGCACAGGGATGGGCTGGCACAGGGCTGGGCTGGCACAGGGATGGGCTGGCACAGGGATGGGATGGCACAGGGATGGGATGGCACAAGGATGGGATGGCACAGGGATGGGCTGGTACAGGGATGGGATGGCACAAGGATGGGATGGCACAGGGCTGGGATGGCACGGGGATGGGATGGCACGGGGATGGGATGGCACGGGGATGGGATGGTACAGGGCCAGGCTGGCACAGGGAGCTGCAGGCCCCCTGACACCGTGTGTCTGTCACAGGCTGCACGTTTGCCATGCCAGACTCCTGGTCAGCCGTGTCTGGCACTGCTGCTCTGTCCCTGTGGCTGCTTTGAGCTCCTCCACCTGCACTGGCCTCTCCTGCTGTTCCCAGAGTGTTTGGGATAAGGAAACTGGGGCTGGAGCTTTCCTCCTTCTCAGCTTTTTGCTCCTCTTGCTGATTCCCCCTGCTCAGGCTGAAACCCAAGGTTTTGTGGGGTCTTTGCTGTGGGGACAGCACACTGGGGCAGGGGTCTGTGCCCCCTTCACAACTTCCCCCAGCTGGAGCATCCCCAGCAGAGCGAGGAGCTGCAGACTTTGCTGTGCCCCTTCCTCTCCAGCAACCCCCTGCTCCTCTGCCCGGTGAGTCAGGGTGGCCCAGGGCAGGGCTCAGGCGCCCCCACCACCCCAGGGGGCTTCCAGAAGGTTCCCTCTGCTCCTCCCCCTGCTCCCCAGAGCTCCTCTGCTGCTGGGACTGTGCTGGAGTGGGGCTGAGCTCGGCTGCTGCCACCGGCTGCTCTCTGCACTGCTCCCACCTTCCCCTGCCCAGAGCCTTGTGCTGCTCTGGCTGCACCCCTGAATTCCATCAATTCATCCCATAAATTCCATTCTCCAGCAGTCATCCCATGAATTTGGGGTCCCCACACAGGGCCCAGCAGTGTAAGCATGTGTGAGTCAAGGTTAATGAGTAATTAAGGTGGTTTGTGATGAAATTCTGGGGCAGGGGTGCATGGATCAGCCCTGCTGCTCCCCAATAACCCCACACTGGGAGAAACAATTTTAAATTAAACTGGGATGGTGATGGAGCAGCTCTGGGCTGGGAGCAGGATCTGGGGGTGGTAGCACCTCTCCTCCTCAAGGTTAATGAGTAATTAAGGTGGTTTGTGATTAAATTCCTGGCCAGGATCAGCCCCGCTGCTCCCCAGTAACCCCACATTGGGAGAAACAGCTTTAAATTAAACTGGGATGGTGATGGGGCAGCTCTGGGCTGGCAACAGGACCTGGGGGTGACAGCACCTCCTCCTTGGAGCCTGGGGGGCACAGGAGGGAACCCAGGATGGATGGGATGGGGTGACACTGAGCACATCCCGAATCCCCCCCCCACCCACACCCAGGCCTGGGGAGGAACTGGCTCTACATTTGCGTTTATTTCCTTCCAGGGCTGACAGCAGGGTGGGAGGGCGCAGTGCGGGGCTGTGGGGCTGGCAGGGGGGGTTCCTGGAGCGCTCAGCCCCCTCCCCGAGCAGGGCAGGGCTCACACCAGCCCGTAGTAACGCCGGTACGCCTCCTGCAGCCCGACCTGATCCGCCAGCTCGTCGCAGTCCGGGTTGAGCTCGCACACCTCGCGCTTGGCCTCCAGCGGGTCCGGCGGGGCCCCGGGGCCGCTGCTGGGGACAAAGGGACACAAAGGGACACAAAGGGACACCCGGGGGGGTCTGCGGGGTCCTGGGCCACCAAACCTCCCCCGGCTGCACCCAGCGATGCTCACCTGCCATGGCCGGCATTGCGCTTCTGCCTCTGCACCAGCTCGGCGCTGGCGCGTCTGGAGATGAAGGCTGTGGGGACAGGGGGGTCAGGGGGTCGTGTCACCTGTCCCCTGTGCCCTGTGTGTGTCCCCTGCCCCCAGGGTGTGTCCCCTGTGTGTGTGTCCCCTGTGCCCTGTGTATGTCACCTGTCCCCTGTGCCCGGGGTGTGTCCCCTGTCCCCTGTGTGTGTGTCCCCTGTCCCCAGGGTGATGTCCCTGTCCCCTGCCCCCAGGGTCACTCACCTTCGGAGCTGGGCGAGTCCTTGGTGCTGGCAGAGCCATCTGTGGGTGACACGGAGGGGTGGCCGCGCTCACAGGGGTCTCCTGCTCTGCCCTCCCACCCTGCTCTGCTCTCACCCCGCTCTTTTTGGGGCTCACATCCCTCCCTGAGACCCCCCCCCCCAATCTGCTGAATGATGTCCCTGTCTCCCCATTGAACCCCCGTGCCCCACAAAGCTCAGCAGAGTTTTCCCAGTCCCTTTGCTCCCTCCAGGGCCCTTCCCAGGGCACAGAATCACTCCCAGTGTGCACAGAATCACCCCCAGGGCACAGAATCACCCCCAATATCCACAGAATCAGCCCCAGGGCACAGAATCACCCTCAGTGTCCATAAAATCACCCTCAGGACACAGAATCAGCCCCAGTGGGCACAGAATCACTCCCAATGTCGACAGAATCACTCCCAGTGTGCACAGAATCATCCCCAGTGTCCATAAAATCACCCCCAGGGCACAAAATCATCCTCAATGTCCATAGAATCAGCCCCAGTGTCCACAGAATCACCCCAGGGCACAGAATCAGCCCCAGTATCCACAGAAACACCCTCAGGGCACAGAAACAACCCCAGTGCCCACAGAATCACCCCCAATGCCCACAGCATCACCCCCAGTGTCCAGAATCACCCCCGATGCCCATAGAATCACCTACAATGCCCACAGCATCACCCCCAGTGTCCATGGAATCACCCCCATGCCCACAGCATCACCCCCATGCCCACAGCAGCCCCGGGCTCCCCGGTACCTCTGCGGCAGAGGCCGAGGGCGAGCAGGGCCAGGAGGGTGAGCAGGAGCAGGGCCCTCATGGTGCCTCCCCGAGCTGGGCTGGGCTGCCCCGGCTCCCTGGCTGCCTTTATAGGGCGCTGCGGCCTCGGCAAGGGGGGCCCGGCCCCGGCAGGGTTATTTGCAGCACATCCGCCCCGGCCGGAGCCGCTGGCAGAGCTGGCAATTGTGGTTTGGGATGGACCCGGTGCCCTGCGCCCGGCCAGAGCCCACAAAGGGAGGGAGGAGCGGCCCCGGGCCGGGGGGGATTTGCTGGTGGGCCCAGCCCTGCCAGGCTGGCAGTGCCCAGGCCCCACGGGGTGGGTGAGGGGGCACTGGGGGCTCCTCAATGCCCAGCCCCAGCACCCCAGAATCATCTTCTGCAACGCAGGGAGACCTTCCTGCCAAAACCTTGGGGTTTGACCAAAGGGAAATTGCTGGCCCAGTTCTGGGGGAGCAGCAGGTGCTGCTTTGGGCACCCCTGAGGGAGGTGAGAGGTGCCCACGGCCTTGGTCCCTGCACAGCTCCTCCCTGCCACAGGCCAGGGGCAGATGCTGCGTTACAGACAGGGTGTCACAGACATGTTTTATGGAAAATCCTTTCCTTAGGATTTTTCCTCCTGAGAAGCTGGGAGGCCTCAGGAACAAAATGCAAACAATGGTTATCTGCTGCTGTGGAATGCAACAGGTGCATCTGGGATTGGTCTCATGTGGTTGTTTCTAATTAATGGCCAATCACAGTCAGCTGGTTTGGACACAGAGCCTGAGCCACAAACCTTTGTTATGATTCCATTCTATTCTTAGCCAGCCTTCTGATGAAACCTTTTCTTCTATTCTTTTAGTATAGTTTTAATGTAATATATATCATAAAATAATAAATCAGCCTTCTGAAACATGGAGTCAGATCCTCATCTCTTCCCTCATTCTCAGACCCCTGTGTGCACGGTCACAGTGAATTCCCCCCTGGACACACAGCCCTCCCAAAACTGCTGCAAGGTGAATTGTAGCCGTGATATTTTCTGAAAAATCCTTTCCCTAGGATTTTTTCTCCTGAGAAGCTGGGAGGCCTCAGGAACAAAATGTAAACAATGATTATCTGCTGCTGTGGAATGCAACAGGTGGATCTGGGATTGGTCTCATGTGGTTGTTTCTAATTAATGGCCAATCACAGTCAGCTGGCTCAGACTTTCTGTCCCAGACACAAACTTTTGTTATCATTCCTTCTTTTTCTATTCTTAGCCAGCCTTCTGAAGAAATCCTTTCTTCTATTTTTTTAGTATGGTTTTAATATAATATATATAATAAAATAATAAATCAAGCCTTCTGAAACATGGAGTCAGATCCTCATCTCTTCCCTCATCCAAGAACCACTGTGAACACCATCCCAGCCAGGGCACTCAGAGCCCCTGAGTTACATTCCTCTTTCACATCCTGACCACTTTGTTTGATCCTGTAAATCCCAGCCCTGCCTTGGGCAGCAGAACCGGAGGCTTTGGGGCAGACAGAGCTGCTGAGGCAGAGCCTTTGTCAGACAAAGCCATAAAACACAGAGTGCGTGGGCCAAGAGCACAGCAGGAGCCAAGCTGGGAAGCACAGCCCCAGTTTATTGAGGAGATTCCAGCACAGAGAGGGGAGGCAGAGGGGAAATGCTGCAGCTCTAATTGCTGACAGAGGCTGGGCTGTGGTGGAGCGGCCACTGCCCCATCCCAGCTGGGCAGGAACCCTGGAGCTGTGCCCTCAGAGCCTCTGCAGGTGCAGGGGGCTCTGCTGCCTCCCTGGCCAGCCCCAGGACTGCCTGTCCCTGCTGCAGGAACACATCACTCACAGGTGGGGCTGTGCCAGGGAGATCCCTTGGCTTCCCCAGCCCACAAACAGGAGAGGCAGAACAGACAGCGCTGGGTGGGGGAAGCCAGGCTGGCTCTGGAAGGTTCCACAGGAAAAACAAACATGAAAACCCCGTGCTGCAAAGCCACAAAGCGGAGGCAGGGCTGTTCCAAGCTCTGCACAGATCCCTGGGAGGGGACCAGGGCTAGAAAATAACTTCAGAAGAGACAGAAGGAATGGTAACAAGGAGCTTGGGGCAGCAGCTGCTGCCACATCTGCGAGGGCAGTGAGCACAGGGAGACTGAATGAACCTGCAAACAAGGCAGGAGCCTTGGCTGTGACCCCAGGACAGCCTGCCCTGGGGCTTAAGGCACTGAATTTTGTCTAACACACAGCTAAAACAGCTACAAACCCCCAAATGTGGCTTTGGAAACTGGAACCAGGCCTGTCACAGCACTGAGTGCAGCAGATGAGAGCACAGACACACTTTGTGACACTCCTCTGTCTAGCTGAGTGGGAAATAGGGAATTGCCGCCCATTTCCAAAGATCCCAATGTTTTTTTTTTGTTTCTTTTGTTGGTTTTTTGTTTTCAATCAACCCATGCCAGTCCAGCAGCTGTTCCAGTCCCTCTGCAGTCTCCAGCGGCCTGATGGGGCGATTCTCAGTGCACACACCTTGTCCCATCAGTGCTGTGGGATGGTGAGCTGCCTCAGCAGAGCCTGTGGGACATCACTGGAGCTCCTGGAGTGCCACGATGAGTTCTCGCTGCTCCTTAGTGATTGCCTGGAAGGAACACAACGCACAGAGCTCAGCATGGAGCCTCTCCCACCCTGCCACACTCAGGGTGGAATGTGTGGCACACAGTGCCGTCCCCTCCATGTGCAGAACACAACAACCCCCTCACCTCCCCTGGGACCACCCACACCCCACAGCCCACCCACTGCACAGGGAAAAGCACCTGAGAGCTCCAATGCCCACACTAAAGTTTCAGCAGGACTTGGCTGCTGGGGAGGTCCTGGGGAAGTGGAGGCTTTGAAAGTCATTCCAGAGCCTCGTTCTCCAGGTGCTGTGAGAATGAGGTTGGGCTGGGTTGGTTTGGTTGGTCTGGTTTAGTGTGGGTTGGTCTGGTCTGGTTTGGGTTGGGTTGGTCTGGTTTGGTTTAGGTTGGGTTGATTTGGTTTGGTTTCGGTTGGTCTGGTGGGGTCTGGTTTGTGTTGGTCTGGGTTGGGTTGGTTTGGTTTGTGTTGGGTTGGTTAGTTTTGGTCAGGTCTGGTTTACCTTGGTCTGGTTTGGGTTGGGTTGGTCTAGTCTGGTTTGGTTTGAGTTGGTTTGGTCAGGTCTGGTTTACCTTGGTCTGGTCTGGGTTGGTTTGGGTTGGTTGGTTTGTGTTGGGTTGGTTTGTGTTGGTTAGTTTTGGTCTGGTCTGGGTTGGTCTGGTTTGGTCAGGTCTGGTTTGTGTTGGTCTGGTTTGAGTTGGTTTGGTCTGGTTTAGGTTGGGTCTGCTTTGGTCTGGGTTTGTCTGGCTTGGGTTGGTTTGGTCTGGTTTGGTCTGGTTTTGGGGTGGTTTGGTCTAGTTTGGGTTGGGTTGGTTTGGGTCAGTCTGGTCTGGTTTGGGTTGGGTTGGTCTGGTCTGGGTCGGTCTGGTCTAGTCTGGTTTGGTTTGAGTTGGTTTGGTCAGGTCTGGTTTACCTTGGTCTGGTCTGGGTTGGTTCGTTTGTGTTGGGTTGGTTTGTGTTGGTCTGGTCAGATTTACCTCGGTCTGGTCTGGGTTGGTTTGGATTGTGTTGGGTTGGTTTGGTCTGGGTTGGTGTGGTTGGGTCTGGTTTAGGTTGTTCTGGTTTAGGTTGGTTTGGTCTGGATTAGGTTGGGTTTGCTTTTGATAGTGGAGCCCTGGAAAAAGTTAAAGATAGAATCTAAAATGTTAGGCTTTGTGCTTTCCCAGATCAACTGCACCTGCCTAAGCAGTATGATAAATTATATAATTGCTAGATGTGATGATTGTTTAGTAATTAAATGTAATTATTATATAACCATAAGAAGAATAATGGGAAACTATGCTGGAAATTCAGAGAGGGGCTAAATTTATGTATACAATAGAACAATATAAGTTTAATAATTAACATGAAAGTTATATAACGATAGAGTATAAAACATGATCATTTCGGATGTATGGTCAGAATCAGACTTGGGTAATACCCCGATTCCCAGAGCTCTTAATAAAAAGCACCGCATATAATCCCCCGTGATTATGTGTTTTTGAATGCTAACACTTTGGTCTGGGTTTGTCTGGCTTGGGTTGGGTCGGGCTGGTCTGGTTTGGGTTGGTTTGGTCTGGTTTTGGGGTGGTTTGGATGGGGTTGGTTCGGTTTGGGTCAGTCTGCTCTGGGTTTTCTGGTGTGTTTTACCTGCCAGGCCTCCTGGCGAGCCTGGATCACCTGCTGCAGCTCTGCAATGCTGTCCCTGCCCTTGAGCACCTCCTGGGCCAGGCTGCTGCTCCTGTGCTGCCTCTCCTGCAGCGCCCGGCGCAGGTGGGAGCGGTGGCGCAGCAGGAACGGCACCAGGGCGCTGCGCACGTCCCGCGCCGGGACCCCGCTGGGCCGCCTAAAATGGAGCAACACAGCACCCAGGACACAGCAAGGGAGCAACACAGCATCCAGAACACACAACACACCCTGCCCTGGGCTCTCAGCATCAGCGGGGTGGGAAAGATGCAAATCAGCGCTCAGAGATAGCAAAAATATCATTGGAGCTAAGCAGCAGCCATGAGATTGGTCAGCAGGAAAGTTATAAAAGGACAAATAGAAGAATGGTCTGTGTATTGACATGTCGCAGACACCTTTTATAAAAAATCCTTTCCTTAGGATTTTTCCTCCTGAGAAGCTGGGAGGCCTCAGGAACAAAATGTGAACAATGGTTATCTGCTGCTGTGGAATGCAACAGGTGCATCTGGGATTGGTCTCATGTGGATGTTTCTAATTAATGGCCAATCACAGTCAGCTGGCTCCGACACAGAGCCTGAGCCACAAACCTTTGTTATTCATTCTTTCTTTTTCTATTCTTAGCCAGCCTTCTGATGAAATCCTTTCTTCTATTCTTTTAGTATAGTTTTAATATAATATATATAATAAAATAATAAATCAAGTCCTCTGAAACATGCGAGTCAGATCCTCATCTCTTCCCTCAACCCGAGTCCCCTGTGAACACGGTCACATTAACAGAGCATGCACCTGTACTTTTTGTAAACTGGGAGGCTGCAGAGTGTGGGAGCAGCCTTGGGGACATGGCCTGGAGTGTCCTGCAGCCAGCCTGGCCTTCTGGGGGGGCTCAGTACATCATCCCCTGGTGTGGGGTAAAGCAAAGCTCTGCTCATCCCAACCCTCAGGGTGAGCTGGACTTTCCTCCCAGAACAGATCTGCTCTAAGGGCCAGAGCAGATTCAGAAAAGAAAAGAAAAGAAAAGAAAAGAAAAGAAAAGAAAAGAAAAGAAAAGAAAAGAAAAGAAAAGAAAAGAAAAGAAAAGAAAAGAAAAGAAAAGAAAAGAAAAGAAAAGAAAAGAAAAGAAAGAAGAAAAGAAAAACTCCCTAAGCTAAAGAAAAGTATTTCTACCGAGATATTAGGAAGTTCTAACCTTAATCATGGGGGGCTCAGCACATCATCCCCTGGACTGGGGTAAAGGAAGACACCTCTCTGCCCCCATCCCAACACTCAGGGTGAGCTGGAGTTTCCTCCTTGAACACATCTGCTCTATCCAAGGCCCACAGCAGATTCACAAGCATATTCTATTTGTCTAGAATAACTCCCTAAACTGCAGAAAAGAGTAGTGAGATATTAGGAAGTTCTAGGCTTAATAATGGGGGGCTCATCATATCATCCCCTGGACTGGGGTAAAGCAAGGCACTGCTCCCATCCCAACACTCCGGGTGAGCTGGAGTTTCCTCCTTGCACAGATCTGCTCTAAGGCCCTACAGCAGATTCACAAGCATATTCTACTTATCTAGAATAACTCCCTAAGCTAAAGAAAAATATATCTAGGGAGATATTAGGGAGTTTGAAGCTTAATAATGGAGCTCTGTGTGTTGTGTTTTAAGGCTTACAAGCAGGTATTGTATTTGAAATAAGCAAGCATTGTTTCAACCAAAGGTACCTGTGCTTATAGTGGTTGGATAGAACTACTGTCAAAGTGCTTTTGCTTTGTGTGATTGGTCAAAAAACTTTTAGTGAGTTGTAACATTGAGTTGTCTGCAGCTGAGGATGTGAGCTGCTGGCACCTTCCCATTGTCATCACCATGGAATGAGACTGATGCTGGAAAATAAACAGCTCAAGCAGCAGTCCCATCCTGTTGGTGATTTGTACATAGACCCTGGCCAGAGATGCTGCCCAGCACTGGTCCCACACAGCTGCTGAGATGCTGCCAGCTGGGATCAGCTCTGTGGCTGCCACAGGGAACCCAGCACAGCCAGAGCACCACTGGAGGGCACAGGGAGCTCTTGCCAAAGCCTGGCACTAAGTGGGTGCTTGGAACAGGCAGGATCTCCTCACCCCCTCAGCACAGACACACAAAATCCTGTGTTTCTGGTCAGTCCCCAGTCTCTCCAGTGTCTGCTGAGGCCCTGAGCCAGGGACACAAAGAGCACACAGGGGGACTCTGCTGTAGGACAGGTGCTGTGCCCAAACCCCCCAGCTCAGTGGCACTGACCCCCCTGCACTAAGGGAGTGGAAATGGACCCTTGACCCAGAGAAGCACAGATTAAACTGATTTTTGTGTGTTTTAGGCTCATTGTCACTGCTGTAAAGATACAGCAGCTTTCAGACCCTCCCTTACAGCAAAACCACCCCCCACCCTTGGCCATCCATACCACGCTGGCTCCTCCCGGTCCTTGGCCTCCTCCACGATCTTATCCAGCAAACTGAAGAGTCCCTCCAGATTCCCTTCATTCTTCACCTCCTGGATCTCCTCCTGTGAAGGAAGGACATGAGCTGAACAAATACAGGCACCACTCTGCTTGTGAGCCTTCATTGGTCAGGGAATCAGGGAATTGTTTGGGTTCAAAGGGACCTTAAAGCACATTTCCTTCCACCTTCCACTTTCCCAGGCTGTTCCAAGCCCTGTCCAACCTGGCCCTAAATTCTGGGCACCCTGTGCCAGGCCCTCAGCACCCTCACAGGGAAGAATTCCTTCCCAATATCCCATCTAACCGAGGGAAGCCACTTCCCTTGTTCTGTCACTCCATCCCTTATCCCAAGTCCTTCTAGCTTTGTTCTGGATGAAAAGCTGGAACCATGGATGATGAACACCCTGTGAATCACAATTCCTGGGGGTATTTAACAGATGTGTGGATGTGGCACTCAGGGACATGGTTTAGTGGTGGCCTTGGCCATGCTTGGACTCCAAAGTCCCAGTGGTGTTTTCCTGAACGATCCCACAGCTTTTTCTGGGGAAGGCAGAACTCTGGAGAGCAGCCTCAACTTTCTGCTTTACATTTAGGAAATATATTTGCTGCCCTTAATATCAACCTGCTCAGCATTTTTCCACTGCCCCCGGGTGGCTCCTTTGCTCACCTTGATGGACGTCTGGAGCTGGGAGATGAACTGGTCGTAGATGCTCCGGGTCAGCTGCGGCTGCAGCTTGTAGAAGCAGCGGTAGCAGCTGACAAACCTCTGGTAGCTGCAAGGAGGGCAGGATCAGAACCGGAGCCGGGTTAGCGATGGGGATGGCGGCAGGGCTGCTCCCGGGGGTACGGGCGGGCTCAGGGGCACGGCGCGGTTGGGACTGGGGACACGGTGGGGCCGGGTCGGGCCAGGCTCAGAACCGGGCCCGGGGCTGCTCCCGGGGGTCCGATGGGCCCAGGGTCACGGTGGGGCCGGGCCAGGGTCAAAGCCGGCTGCTCCCGGGGTTCCAGTGGGCCCAGGGTCAGGGCCAGGCTCAGACCCAGAGCAGGGTCCGGTGGGCCCAGGGTTACGGCACGGCTGGGACCGCGTCAGGGCCAGGTTCAGAGCCGAATCCGGGGCTGCTCCCGGGGGTCCGGTGGACCCAGTGTCACGGCACGGTTGGCACCGAGTTGGGCCAGGCTCAGAGCCGGGTCCGGGGCGGCTCTCAGGGATCAGGGCGGGCTCAGTGTCACGGCACGGTTTGGACCAGGCTCACGGTTGGGACCGGGTCACGACCAGGCTCAGGGTCAGAGCCGGGTCCGGGGCTGCTCCCGGGATCCGGTGAGTCCAGGGTAACGGCACGGGTGGGACAGGGTCGGGTCAGGCTCAGAGCCGGGTCCGGGGCAGCTCCCGGGATCCGGTGGGCCCAGGGTCACGGCACGGTTGGCACCGGGCTCAGAGCTCCCTCCCCGCCCCCGCCTCACCTCCCGGCGGCCACCAGTTTCTCCAGGAACGTGTCCACCACGGTGCTGAACACCTCGGCGCGCCCCGGGGCCGCCGCCAGTGCCGGCTCGTCCCCGCCATCGGCCCCGCCGCCCTCAGCCCCGCCCGCGCCGCCATCGCCGCCCGCCGCCGCCGCCATGGCCCGGAGCGCGCCGCCGCCACCGCCGCTGCCCATTGGCCGGGGCGCCGGGCCCCGCCCCTAACGGCCGCCAGCGCGGGAACGGAGCGCGGGAAGCGCGCGGGAACGGAGGCGGGAACGGAGGGCGGGAACGGAGCGCGGAAAGAATGCGCGGGAAGCGCGCGGCGCGGGCGGGGTTCGCGCCGCTCGGCGGGGCCGCTCCCGGTCCGAACCAAATCACGATAAAAACACCGCGGTTTTTGCAGAGACTGCCGCCTACCGGAGCGGGGCTGCGCCCGATCCGAACCGAACCGCGACAAAAACACCGCGGTGAGAAACTGCCGCCTACCGGAGCGGGGCTGCTCCCGGTCCGAATCAAACCGTGACAAAAACACCGCGGTTTTTGAAGACACTGCCGCCTCCCGGCGCGGGGATGCGCCCGGTCCGAATCGAAGCAGCGAGACAAAACCGTCCTTCTCTCCCCAGGGCCCGCCCTGCCCCCCAGCGACTTTGAGTGAAATAAAACGATCAAGCCTGAAGAATTCAAGGAGAAAAGAAGAAACAAAGTTCAGCTCGGATAGAGAATAAAAAAAGCGACATTTGCCATGTAACAGCCAAGCAGGAGCCAGCCCGCGGCTGTGGGTCGCGGCTGCCTGCAGGCATTCCAGTGCTCCAGCCGGTTCTCCCTCAGCCACCGAGTTCTCAGGCAGCTCACGTCCCTCTCCTAGTCCAAAGGCTAAGGGTGAAACTCTTCCTGTGACACAACAAAAGCAGCAGCCTCCCCATGCGTGGAGAGCCATGTGCTTTTAAACGCAGGCAGCAAACTGAAGGTCTCTCAAGTTTATTAGTTGTCAAGAACGTTGCTGGTTACGAGAGGAACATTAAGTTTGACAGTGTCTCCCCACACTGGTGCTGCCACCCCTCTGTTCTGCACACTGGGACTGGCCCTGCTGCACCTGGCAGAGGCTGATCGTTATTGTTCCTGTTCATATCAGTGTTAACATCCTGCTGCCTTGTGGTTTGGGGTGCTGTTGTTCTGCTTTTCAGAGCAGAATCTATTATTAGAGCAAGAGCCGACTGGTGTCAACTTTTAAACAACAAACAGGTGACTGGAGCAGGTGCAGAAGGTGCTGCTCCAACAACTCCACCAGTGGCTCCAGCATCCAGTGCCTTTCTGAGCACTGCAAGAAACAAAACTGGGATGAAGAGGGCTCTCACTCACAGCCCCATCACAGCACTGCACCTTGGAATCAAGCAGAGAAGCCTCTCCCACCTCAGCAGCAGCTGCAGCACTCTCCATCTCCAGCAGGCAGGGTGGAATGTCAAGTGTCTGCTGGGCAGGGACATCACTGGGATGAAGGGCAGAGCCACACTTGGTGAATTCCCTCAGGAAGAGACAGCCAAGTGGAGCCCAGCAACAGCCACAGGTCAGCAGGATCAACACCTCAACCAGAATTCCTGGTTATGGCAGAAGGGGAATGGAGGTGCACCCCAAACCCCTCCCAGACAAGCACCACGTGTGGGCTGGCAGCATGAAAGGCAAATCTCAACCACCAAGAGCAGCAGAGCGCAGTCAAACAACCCCCTCCCTCCCCTCCCCAAAAAGCAGCCTCTGGTTTCATCCCCCTGAAGTTTTCACCTGGTAAAATACACAGGCCATAGCTCAGGCTTCTGATCCAGCAATTGTGCAAAACATTATCCTTGCCCTTCCCAAACTGGAAGAGCAGAATTGAAACTCGTGAAGTGAACCATCACTTCTTATTCAATATAAACATGCCTGTCAGGTTTGAACTGGATCAAAAGCCAGCACAAGGTTTTTCCTTCCCCACATCCCATCTAATTGTAGCTCAAAGCCCACTCAGTTCTCATCCAGCTGCTGGCAGCACCACGATCAAACACTTCCAAACTGCATTTCTGGGCTTAAACTAACTAAGGTGGGAAGTGGCCACAGCCACTCTGAACATGCAGGATTGACACACTGAACGAGGCCACAGGACAACCATTCAGTACCCCAGAAATCAGAATAAGCTTCCCTAAAATAAAATAAAAAAAAATTAAATTACAACAGATTAAAAACACAGGTTAGATGTCAAAACTGCCATCAGCTAATTCCAAACAGCCAGCTCAGCTCCCCACTTGCTGTCAGCCAGCTTGCTGTTTGGAGGATGAGAGACAGGGAACATTTCCCAAGAATATACAAAACAAGTATGTAGATCTATTCAAAACGCAGGAAATCAGGTCTGAAGTGGTTCCAGGTTACTCTTGTCTCACATCTTCTAGAAATAAAAGCAGGTAATTGGAGAAAGTCACTTGTCTGTTTTCTGCTTCCAGCTTCCCACAGCACAACTGCCACTAGAGACATCCCAGCAGAGGGTCCTGCTGCAGGCTGTGAGACTCCTTGGAAGTTTGGCAAAGATGAAAATAATTTAAAGAGAATAAACTGGCTTTTTGCTTAAGCCAGTAAGTCTTTAAAAAAAAAAAAGGAATTACTAACTTGCCAGGATGCATTCCCACACCTGGAACGGACTGTTCCAGGCAAAGAGCACTGCCAAAGGTCACAGTTGAAGCGAAACCAGCAGCAGAACCATTGCATGACACTCAGATCTAAAGAGGTGAAGTGCAGCTGCTTTTGCATCTGCCTTGTGCTGTGAAAGCAGCCGGAGACAAAGGCGCGGCAGCTGCGCGGCATCCCAGGCTCTCCCCTGCAAGAGTCCAAACTCAGAGAGGTCTCAGGAAGGTTCTCCTCCCCCAGCTGCCTCTACCAGTGCCTTGAGTCCACCAGCTCTGGGCGCAGGCTCAGCTTCTTCAGCGTTTCATAGCCCACCACGATGACGATGGTGGAAGGAGTGGCCGAGATGATGCGGGCAGAGAGGCCTTTGGTCAGCCCCCAGGGGCCTTCCTCTGCAATGAGCTGCTTGAAGGTGAGAATGATGGAGCTCTTGCCTTCCACCTGCAAGGCCAGAACAAACATTGACAGAGCTGCCAGACTCCATGCTGAGCTGCTCTGGGGCTCTGCTGCAACTGAACACTCTGGAGACAACAGATCAGCCAGTCTGACAGCATTGATCTGGTCTCCAGAGCTCCCTGAGGAGGGCAGCAAAAAAAGCACAAAGTCCCAAGGAGGCAGCAGGAAGCAGCTCTCCCTTTCTGAAGGGAAAGCCTGTCTGAGCAGGCCAGGCTGGCACTGCCAGCCCAGGCTCCTCTTGCTAATGCTGAGGGTTAATTAAGCAGCTGCTACCCAGGATGAAAGGGAAACAGCTCACCTGAAAGCACAGAGATGAGAGAGCCCAGGCTGAACCCCACCCTGCTGAGTGCCAAACAGGCTGAGCTCTTACCTGCACCCGAGCCCTCACCACATCCATGGGGTTGGTGAGAGTGGAGGCTGTGGCAGCTGCAAGGGGCCCTGATATTGCTTGCAGAAGGAGGTGGGGGCAGTCTTTAGGAGTCAAACTCGAAAGCTGTTCTGGGAACAGGAGAGAGAGAGGAAAATTTCAGACTTTCAGTGATTGTTTATAATTTCCTTAAGCCCACCCCCTAACTCCAGCTGATTTGCAGTGGGCAGAATCCCTGATTTCCAGCCTGCAGAATCTCCAAGTGGTGCTTCCTACACCAAGCAGAAAGCTGGCACAGCACAGGGAGCAGGACTCATCACACTGCTGGCCCCAGGACACTCGCCATGCTTTGTGCCACAGCCTCCCAGGCCTGTGGGGCAAACTGGACAGAACCAGCTTCCACACCCCCAAAACAGGGCATGAAAATCCCCACTCTCTTTAGAAGGTGGAGGAAGTCTTAAGACAAGGCTCCACTGGAAGGAGTCAGCAGAGATTTGTACAGAAAGCTGTCACTACTGGGCACAGTGTCCAGGAGATACCCTGGTTAGTGCTGACCCCAGATCTCCTCACTCTGCTCCTGCTGCCTGGCCAATAGGATTTGAATGTCCCACACTTTCACTGGCTGGAGTTGGACAGATGAGTGCTCAAAAGCCCCATTTCTGGACAATGAGGAAGCCTGGCTGGCAGGAGGGACGGAAGCAGCTCTGTTTGAGACTTTGAACACCGACTGGAATCAGGGCCAGCAGTGTCCTTTGAACCCAAGGAGGGTTCAGTGACCCCAGCTGCTGCTCCAGGGACAGAGCACTGGGAAATGCAGCCAGAGCAGATTCATTGACAGCTGGGGTTTATGTTCCCCACCATCTCAATTCCCACTGAGAAGACAGGGACAGAGCAAACACCTGGAAGCTGAGAGCTCTGGTTTCTCCATATCAGCTGCCTTTTCTTACCTGCCCTCCTCTGAGCCCTTTGGGCATGAAAATCTTACAGTTAGTACATTGGGTTTTGGTCTTATGACCAGCTGACAGGGACACTGATGGCAGCACTCCCACAAAGCACAGACCAACATGCCAGGCTGCCACTGCCATTTAAATGCAGCACCAATATTTCCTCTAGCTACCAGAATTCTGGAAAGCACACAGGACCTTTGAGACATCTGGATTTTGAAGAATCCTCCAAGATGTACTTTAGGCCCAGTACAGCAAAACTCAAAGTACTCATTGCCACCACCTTTTGGCAGAAATTAGGTAACCAGGCTCCTAAAAACCATGTGCAAAGCTGCAGGGCAGAAATCTAAAGGATCATCAGAGGTGGAAATAAGCCTCAGCTGGCCAATACCTTTAGCCTCTGGAAACACCCCAAGGAGTACAAGAACTGAGCTAGGGAGAAAGAACTTTCTACTGAGTGCAGTTTTCCATCACAAGGCTCAGTGCCAATTTTAAAGTTGCCAAAACTGAAGCAAATCCAGCAAACGTGACAGAAATCCAGGGAAGATCTGGCCCTTGTCTCTGTTTGTTGTTTGGTTTTGCCACGAGATTTGTGGCTCTAAAAGTCCCTTTACCATTTCTGAGATTCCTGAGTTCACATGAACTGAAAGATGAACTATACTTACATGGTGGCTCCAAACTCTCCCTTCCTCACTCCTGTGGAGAAGGCACTACTTGGATTAGTAGCAGAGAAAGTTAAGCAGATGCATAAAGCCCCACTTGCTTGGAGCCATCCAGTTTCGAGTTCTATAGCACCTGGGCCCCTTGTTCTGCATGAAACACTGCTGCTCTGTTAAACTTCCACCCAACACCTGCAGAATTCCCACACAGCCAGATGCAGCTCCTTGGCTCAGGGCAGATTCTGCTCCCACCCCCCGAGAGAAAACAAATCCCGCTGAATCCACAGCACCAAGAGTCCATCCAGGGGCTCCTGGCTCTCCTGGGATAAGACACATTTCAAACCTCCTTTCACTTACCAGCATAGAAGTGGTAGAAGGGCCACCAGACAGCACTGTTGGGAATATAAGTGAGCAGCGAGGCCACATAACCGCGGTAGAAACCTCGAAAGCCGTCAGCCCTGAAAATCTGTACAATGATATCCTTGGTTTGCCCAAAGACCAGCAGCCGCTTGCCATCCTGGTTCTGCACCTTGAACCTGCCCATGCTTTCCCCTTTCCTCTGCATCATGAGGTGCTGGGAGACCACATCGATGGGCACCGTGATGCTCTGGGCCACCAGGGAGGCCGAGCCTCCGGCCACCAGGGATTTGACGGCGTTGTTGTTGTTGTAGCGCGACACGTATTTGCGCGTCAGCTCGTAGGTGGTGACGTAGCACTGCCCCGAGATCAGCGTGAAGGTGTTCACCAGGAAGCCTCGGTAGAGCCCGGCCGCCCCTTCTGTCCGCAGGATTTTCACAAAGGCATCAAAAGTCCCGTTGTAGAGGCTCTTGCCCTTCTGCACCTGCAGCCGCGTGCGGATGAGCGTGAAGGGGTAAACGCTCACGCGGATCATCATGGTCATGCAAATGCCAAAGACGTAGAATTTCCTTTTGTCCAGGTGCTCCCACTCGATGATGGGGATGTTGCGTTTGTCCTCCATGGCTCCTCGGGCGCAGGCAGGACAGGTCCAGGTTTCCCTCAAAGGTACAGAGCAGATCCAGGCCCAGCCTTCCAGCCTTGAGCAAGCTGACTGCGAGTGCCGGCACCTGAAATGAGAGAGCCCTTGGGTAGAGGACAAAGCCCCGCTCGCTACAGCCACCCACATCACCTCACCCTTGGCTGACTCTCCTCGAGCACACAGCCATGATATTTTCTGAAAAATCCTTTCCTTAGGATTTTTCCTCCTGAGAAGCTGGGAGGCCTCAGGAACAAAATTTAAACAATGGTTATCTGCTGCTGTGGAATGCAACAGGTGGATCTGGGATTGGTCTCATGTGGTTGTTTCTAATTAAGGGCCAATCACAGTCCAGCTGGCTCAGACTTTGTCCGAGACACAAGCCTTTGTTATTCATTCTTTCTTTTTCTATTCTTAGCCAGCCTTCTGATGAAATCCTTTCTTCTATTCTTTTAGTATAGTTCTAATATAATATATATGATAAAATAATAAATCAAGCCTTCTGAAACATGGAGTCAGATCCTCATCTCTTCCCTCATCCTGGTCCCCCCTGCAAACACGGTCACACACAGCAAGCCTTGCACAGCACTGAGGGACTGTAACCTCCAGAGGCAGGGCCCTACCATGTGCCTGATGGTGACACCTTCAGATGTCACTGTGGCTGTTTTCTGAGCCCCAGCAGCAGCTCTCAGCACAGCCCAGGCTGCTCTGGGGAAAAGCAAAGCTCCCGTGCTTTCAGAAGCAGATGAGCACCACTCCAGCAGCACACACACCTTTTAATGGGCACACAAGATCAGGGATGGCCAAGCAAAGCAGCTTCTCCCCAGTCATTCCAGGTCTGTCATGCTCCCAGGTGTCAGGACGTCACTTTTCAGTTGTAGGATCTGTACAAAGAAGAAAGTGACAAGTTCTTTTGTGTTCCTGCATTCTCTGCATGAATTAGACCCATTTCTTTGGGCACTTCCATTCTTATCTCCTTAAAGCTGGAGGGTGATGAGAAGAAAAGAACAATGGGAAAACAAGGCAAGACAGCCGTGTAGAGTGTCCACATTGATGACCAAGACGCTGAAAAGAAAGGGTTAAATCACAGCCCAGGATCTCTCTGCTAAGCTGCTTGTCAGCTACACGAGCAAAGTTCATCCTCCATTCCAACACTCCATTGCTGCTCCTGGGCTGTGGAATGGGGAGGATGAGGAGGGAGGGGCTGCTTCAGCCTCCCCCAGCCCCAATTGCTGCAGCTCATCACCAGGACCCAGCAGCTGCACTTTCAGCTGCTGTAATTAGTAAATTAACTTGCTGCACGATTAACCAAGCTTGGGCTAAGGGAACCTGCACACAGAGCCAGGCAGCAGGAGAGGCACAGCTCAGAGAATCACCCAAAACAACACGGAGCAGTTCACTGCCAGTAAGAACTTACTTTCACATCAAATTTTTAAAAAAATGGGGTGTTTGGGTGGCTGAACTTTTGGGAAAGTGTGTGCCAGGGAGCCCTGGTGCCCACATGCATTTGTGCTCTTTTGTTGGCAATGCCCACAGCTCACATCCTCACTGGATTCGTGCAAAACCTGTTTACAAAGAGTAAAAGACATGTTGAATTTTGAAATAAAAGTGTTTGTAGGATTTAATTTGGCCCTTCCACTTAACTCCAGATTAAATAATGGAATGACAAAATGATCTGGACTGCAGCTGGGTCATAACTTGTATTCCAGGCACTGGCAGTGCACGAGCTGAACTGCTGGAGAGCAGAGCCAGAGCAAGGAACAGGAACAGGAACAAGGGAGCCAAAACCTTGATCTGAAACCAGAACCACCAAGTGAGAGCTCAAAGGGATGGGCAGCCAGCAGCACACACTCATCTGGGGGCACTTCACTTTACCATGACACACATCAGTGCCCAAAGGAGCTCCAAGGGACAGGGACCTGGGACAAGGGGACAGGACAGGACACAGGGAATGGCTTCCCACTGAGCAAGAGCAGGGTTAGGTGGGATACTGGGAGGGAATTGTTCCCTCTGAGGTGTTCCCTCTGGCACAGAGCCCCATCCCTGGCAGTGCCCAAGGCCAGGCTGGACAGGGCTTGGAGCAACATGGATAGCTGAAGGTGTCCCTGCCCATGGGATGAGATGAGCTTTGAGGTCCTTCCAACCCAAACCAGTCTGGGATTCTTAGGGAAATGTCTCAACACTTCAGGATTGATGAAGAACTCACACATTCTGTTAGAAACACAGTAACAAAACAACTGGAAGTTGTTTACCTCTGGCACAGAGAAGAAATTGCAGTTATGAAATTAAGGCAGATCAGGGGTGGGTGTCCCATTAAGTGACAATTTCATTGCCCATTGGCCAACAAAATATTTGCAGAACAGAAGCAAACAGCATTGCAGGCTACCACAGCTCCTGCAGGTGGACAGGGGAGTTAAAAACACCCAAAATTCCACTTTTTTACATTGTAAAGAGAACTACACTTCACCCTGCCAGCCAATTGTCCTGGCAGCTAAGGCACAACAAACACCCCAGCCTGGATTGCTGTAGTCACAATCACAGCCCTATTGGGTTTGCTAATACTGACATGATTTCACACACAAAGCTTCCTGCACAGGAATTATCTGTGCACAGCACCTATGAAAACACCACTTGGTTCTTGTTAGGAGTCCCACTAGCTTAATATGTCATTAAAAAAAAATTAAAATAGACTCTAGCCAACATGATTCCCTGGTGAAGCCTGAGGGTTTAGTCCATACTCCAAATTCCTCTGCCACCACCATGGAATTTGAGCTCCCCACAAAGGAAAGGGAAGGGCTGCCTGCAAAAAACATTCTCATTACTGCAATATGGAAAACAAAACAAAAACAACAACAACAATAATAATCCCTTGATCTTTATTTAGTTTTATGTGCTTTGGGTTCAGAATTTCAGCCACAACTTCTTGAGGAAACAGCTGTATTTTCTCTGGACTCTCACCAATAACTCCTCTCATTCAGGATCTGAATTAGATAAAGCCACTTTAACCCCATGGCTCTGAGGCACTCAAAGTCCTTCCTGTATGGAAGAAGGAAGGGATCCTGGCAGCTCCAGGAATGAGCAGCATGGCTGCAATCCTTTCTTTGCCAACATAAAAAGCATTCATTTTGCTCAGAGCATTTAATCTTCCAGAAATTTAGACCATGGCCTTGCTAAGGGATCCCGTCACACTCATTAAGATTTGATGATCTTTCAAGGAATTTTAGAGAGACTGATATAAAAGTCATGGTTACATCTCCTGAGAATTGACCTGCCCTCCAAAACAAGTACAAGCACACCACAGCTCACACATCCTTTAACTCTGGAGCAGCTTTTGTGCCAAAACCACCCCTCAGTGGTTCCTTCCCACCACGCACAAACAGCATTTCTTGAACTTCTGCCTGGAAATGCAAGCAGGGGGTGCCAAGCAGGGCATCCCTGCTCCTGCTCTCTCATCTGGGCACAGCCTCAGTCTCCCACACACAGAACTCAGTACAAACCCCCCCAGTTCATGTCCTTTAATGCCACCCTGTCAGTCTGGTCCCCAAACCGCTCGTTGCTGCAGCTGGAGCTCAGGATGCTTCTCTGGCAAACACAGACAGGGCTTTGTGTGCCCCGGGCAGGGATGTGCCCTGCCCAGCATGCTAATGCCTCAGCAGCAGCCTGGGAACCTCCTGCAGCCAGCCCCGAGGCTGCCTGGCACCTCCAAGGGCACAGAATCACACAACAGCCTGAGCTGGACAGGGCCCAGCAGGGCCAGCTCTGCAGGGAATGGTTCACTTGGGGATGGAACGCTGGCCTTGGGGTTATCAGCACCACATCAGCTCATGGAGCTGAGGCACCACGTCCAGCTCACCCCAACCAGCTCAGCACATCCACCTCATGGAGCTGAGCTCAAGCACCAGATCCAGCTCATGGAGCTGAGTTAAGGCCCCACATCCAGCTCATGGAGCTGAGGCACCAGACCCAGCTCACTGAGCTGAGCTGAGGCCCTACATCCAGCTCAGCACATCCAGCTCACTGAAATGAAGTGAGGCACCAGATCCAGCTCACAACATCCAGCTCATGGAGCTGAACTGAGGCACCACATCCAGCTCACCAAACTGAGCCAAGGCACCACATCCACCTTACCACATCCAGCTCATGGAGCTGAGGTACCAGATCCAGCTCACTGAGCTGAGCTGAGGCCCCACATCCAGCTCAGCACATCCAGCTCACCGAGCTGAACTTAGGCCCCACATCCAGCTCATGGAGCTGAGCTGAGGCCCCACATCCAGCTCAGTACACCCAGCTCACGGAGCTGAGCAAAGCCCCCACATCCAGCTAACCACACCAGCTCACCGAGCTAAACCCGCCCCTCACACTCGCCCCGCGGTAGGTTGGGATCCAACCCCTCCAGGGAGGCAGTCCTGGCTCTCACCCCAGCCCCGCAGCTCCGGCACAGCTGTGGCTCTGTGAGCGCTGTGGCAGCGGCGCTCAGGGGACAGCACTGCCCTCCCCAGCACCCCCGGCCCGGGGCAGGACCCCCCCGATCCCACCCCGGGTGAGACCCCCACCTCCGATCCCGGCCACAGCAGCTCGGCCGTGCTCTGGGGCACAGAACAGCGGCACAGCTCGGTCCGGGATCCGCTCAAGGTCACTGCGGGGCCGGACGCGTGCCCAGTCCCGCGGCTCGGTGTCCCCGCTGTCCCCGAGCCGCCGTGTCCCTGCAGCCCCGGGGGGCTCCGACCGCTCCCCCGCCCAGCCCGGGGGGTGATTCGGACCCTCTGCCCCGGGGAGGGTCTTGAACCCTTCAGCTCCTTTCCCCGCCGCCATTCAAGCCCTGTCCCGCCTGCCCCGGGGGGTCTCACTGAGGGGGCTCCGGGCCCTCCCCGCCCGCTCCGGGACCTTCCGGGCCTCTCTCCCGGGGTCTTTCAAGGCCAAAGGGTCTCACACCAACCCCCTCCCCACTTTAAATGCGCCCCTCGCTAGCCGCCCCCTCTCCTCCACCTGCCGCCCTCCCGCCCAGCCGCGCCGCCTCCACACCTGCCCAGACCCCGCTCGGCCGCCGCCGCCCGCACCGGCGCCGCACCGGGCCGGGCCAAACCACCACCGTCAGGCCGTGCCGCACCGCGGCTGGCTCGGTCCAGGCCTCGCCCCGGCCCGGCCCCGGTCCCGGCAGCCGCTCACCTGACGGCGGCGGGAGGGAGCCCCTCGGAGCCCCCGGCCGGGCCGGCCCCGCCGCCCCATGGCCGCTCCCGGGCCGGAAGTGACCGGCGGCGTCAGCACCGGGGAGCCGCCGCCATCTTGGGAGCGGGCAGAGGTCGCACCGGAAGTGCCCACGCGCTTCCGGCCCGCAGTAAAGAGGGCGGCCGGGCCTTAAAGGGACCGCGCCGAATTACTGCTCTTAAAGGGCCAGCGGCTGGAGGGGGAAACAGCACGGGGGCACCCACAGAAGGGAGTGATGGTTCCCTGCTCCCCGCTCTCCCTGCGCCTCGCTGCAGGTGGACGCTGCACAGGAGTGCGAGTCCCTGCACACCCACACATGTGTGTGCACACCCACGGGTGTCTCTGCACGCCCACACATGTCCCTGCACATCCATGGATGTCCCTGCACACCCACCCTGAAGTCTCCCTGCACACCCACGTGTCCCTGAATGCCCACAGGTGTTCTTGCATGCCCGCGCATGTCCCTGCACACCCATGTGTGTCCCTGCACATCCACGTGTGTCCCTGCATGCCCACAAGTGTCCCTGCACACCCACTTATGCCCCTGCACACCCACGTGTGTTCCTGCACACCCACGAGTGTCCCTGCACACCCATGCATCTCCCTGCCCACCCAAGTGTGTCTGTGCACACCCACGAGTGTCTCTGCACACTCATGCGTGTCCCTGCACACCCATGGGTGTCTGTGCCCCCCCATGTGTATCCCTGCACACCCACAGGTGTCCCTGCACACCCATGTGTATCCCTGCACACCCACTCATGCCCCTGCACACCCACACTTGTCCCTGCACACCCACACGTGTCCCTGCACACCCACGTGTGTCTGTGCACACCAACAGGTGTCCCTGCACACCCACAGGTGTCCCTGCAAACCCACGTGTGCCCACGCGTTCCCCAGGCCCAGCCTCGCACACCCCACAGGGCCCTCAGGGCTGCTCCACAGACCCAGCAATGTCAGGCGTTGAGTTTTCCTTTTTTTAATAAAAAAAGCAAAGACCAGGAAAATGTACAGCTGGCTTGGCTTTGAAAAGGCAGCTCAAGGACGCTGGAAATGGGGTGGGGGGGACAGCCAGGGAGCAGTGGGGGCACCCCAGGGTTGGGACCATGAGGGGTGGGGGCAGTGCAGGGTGGGTGCCCATGGGGCTGGATTAGGGAGCGCATCCAGCACAGCTTGGCCCATGTTGAGGTTTTTGTGGAACTTTTTGTTTTTTCCCTGGTATCAGCATCCACCATTCCCAGCCATGCCCACCCCATGGTGACATTTCTGCTCTGTGCCACATTCATGACCTCTCTCCTCTCCCTGTCCCATTCCCTTGCTCCCAGGGCCCATTTCACCCTCACCCTCAGAACGTGAGCCTTAGGTTAAAACAGGTGTATTAAATAAAATAAACCATGCTGAGGTTTTTATGGAACCTGTTTTTTCCCTGGTATCAGCATCCACCATTCCCAGCTGTGCCCACCCCATGGTGACATTTCTGCTCTGTGCCACATCCATGACCTCTCTCCTTGTCCCACTCCCTGTCCCACTCTCTTGCTTCCATTCCACCCTCACCCTCAGAACGTGAGCCTTAGGTTAAAACAAGTGTATTAAATAAAACAAAAACAAAACCAAAAAAAACCCTTTCACAGTCCCACCCCTCCCCACACCCTCCCTCCCCAAGGTCTCCCTGACCCACTGCCATTGTCACGCCGTGTCCCCCGCCGGCACGTGCAGCCTGTTGTTGTCCACATCCACGTCCCCACCGAGCTGCAGGCAGCACGCCTGGGAGCCTTCATCCTCCTCCTCCTCCTCGGTGGCAGCTCCGGGTGCCGGGGGCTCCGCGGTGCCCCCGTTGAGGGGCACCTTCTCCCTCTGGCGTGACGGGGGGCTGTGGGGCGCGCTGCAGCCCCTCACCTTGCTGCGAGCCCTCAGCTGGTCCCGGTAGGCCATGAGGGCCAGGCAGGCGGCCCCGGCCAGCGTCACGGCCAGCAGCACCGTCACCGTGACAAACTGGGACCAGTACGAGCGGGGCGGCGAGCCCACCTCGCCCAGCTGGGCCCCGCCAGAGTCTCTGAGCTGGTAGCGAGCCACGGTCCAGGTGTAGCCGTTCTCTGTGGCCTGGCAGGTGTAGGTGCCGGCCATTCCCTGCTGCATGATGACCACCAGCGTGTGGTCAGGCTGCAGCACCGTGTGCCCCTGGGCACTGCCAGGCTGCTGCCAGCTGTAGGTGGCCAGGGCGGAGCGGCGCGGGCACGGCAGCTGGACCACGGCGTTCAGCGGGGGGCTGAGCCCTGTGGGTGTGGAGAACACAGTGATGTGGTGCACCTGAGGCAGAGGAGAGATTTTCCAGGGTAGAAATCTATTTTGATTTAGGCAGAATGTACATCTTTAAGTGTGTAGCTTTCTGTGTAGTCTAGCTGCAAAAAGCCCAAGTATCATGGACATCTTTTATGAAAAATCCTTTCCTTAGGATTTTTCCTCCTGAGAAGCTGGGAGGCCTCAGGAACAAATGTAAACAATGATTGTCTGCTGCTGTAGAATGCAACAGGTGCATCTGTGATTGGTCTCATGTGGTTGTTTCTAATTAATGGCCAATCACAGTCAGCTGGCTCAGACTCTCTGTCCGAGACGGAAGCTTTTGTTACCATTCTTTCCTATTCTATTCTTAGCTAGACTTCTGATGAAATCCTTTCTTCTATTCTTTTAGTATAGTTTCAATGTAATATATATAATAAAATAATAAATCAAGCCTTCTGAAACATAGAGTCAAATCCTCATCTCTTCCCTCATCCTCAGACCCCTGTGAACACCATCACACCTAAGCTCAGAGAAACTGCTTCAGTGAAAGACAGAGATAAGGGAGGAGGAGACAGAAAGTGATAGAGAGAGACAGAGACTGCTGTGAGAGCAACTCAACCTGACCTAGGAATTCTTTCTGATAAAGAAGAACTAGCGGCAACTGCCACGCGAAATTCATAAAAAGAAACATGTAAATATTTACAAAATATAATGTAAATATTTATAAATGTATATTGTAAATATTTATAAATATAAATGTAAATATCTATAAAATAAATATTGTGAAATTGTGTGCATATGTATTTGAGAGGGGGATAAAAAGGGACCTGAAGCTCCCAGAAGTACACATGTCATTTTAAGGGAGCGATTCCCACATGCGTCCAGCGCTGTAATAAACATCCTGGCTTTACAACTTTCACAAAAGCTGTAGAGTTTTGTTCATCCCCACAAAACACACCCCATGAGCCCCATCCCACCCCCCATGTACCCCCATACTCAACCCTGCACAGCGGGATCCTCCGGTGCCCCCCAGGAGCGGGGCATGGCCGCACTCCTCCCGCGGTGGCACACGGCGTCCGGTCTCCCCTTCTTAACATCCTGTAGCCACTCACTCCTGCACCCAGGAGAGAAGGGTCAGCAGCACCCCAGTGACCCCCAGAGCCCTCCCAGCTCCCACCCTGCTGCTCACTTGTTGTCGGTGGCGAGGTGGGCACGCAGGCAGGCGCCCCCGGGGCTGTGCCAGGCGCAGTAGGGGTCCCGTGCCAGCACGCACTCGGCGCAGCTCCGGTGCAGGCTGCAGTTGGCCAGCGGGACCTGCAGGACGCCTCTGGAGTAGCCCACGTAGAGGATGCCCTGGGGAAGGAGAGGTGCAGGGCTGAGCTTTCCCCCAGTGCTGGTTTTAGGGGGCTGTTGGGTGTCTGGGTGCTCACACCTGCCCTACCTTCCCTGGTGCCAGCAGCAGGTTCTTCACCGGCTCTGGCGCTGCAAAGAGCTGGATGCTCTCCACGATGTGGGCACCCTCCACTCCCTCAAGCTCCACTGCCTTGTGCAGGAAACCCTCGTCTGTGGGGCATGGGGACATTGCTGAGGCTTTGGAGCCAAGGGGAGGGTGGGATGGGTGACCCTGTGTGCCCCCCGTATCACCCCACCTGTGGCCAGGAACATGACACGGTACGGGGTGCCCAGCACGTCGTGGGTCTCATGGACTGTGATGCGGGTGTAGGTGACATCAGACTTCACCAGGAGAGGCTTCTCCTGGAGGGGTGACACCTTCCCATCCATCAGGAAATGATCCTTCATGAAGCTGAGGGCTTTGTCCGAGGAGGCACCCATGGAGCACTGTGCGGGGACAGAGGGGTCTGTGCTGGGGTGGGAAACTGAGACACAGGGAGGGGAGGATGTGCTGGGGAGGGAAACTGAGACACAGGGAGGGGAGGATGTGCTGGGGAGGGAAACTGAGACACAGGGAGGGGAGGATGTGCTGGGGAGGGAAACTGAGACACAGGGAGGGGAGGATGTGCTGCAGAACCACGCCTGGTCAGCATCAGTGGGGTGCAGAGGGACCCTTCTCCTTTCCCATCCCACCTGCAAGTGTGGGCACACAGGGATACACAGAGCCCATCTCTTGGGGACCAGTGTTGTCCCCTGGTGGGGAGCACACCCCTGAGGGGCAGCACTCACACTGCCAGGCCGAGGACTCATGTCAGGGCCACTGTAGACTGTCCAGCGAGAGCTCTCCTTGTTCAGCTCCTTGTACTTGCCCTTGAAGACCTTCTCCAGATCCTCCTGACTGTAGGCACAGACGGCGGCACTGCCCGCCCTGCCGGCCTGCCTGCAGGGAGGGACAGTGGGCAGCAGAGTGCCCTGGGCTCTCTCCACAGCCCTGGGCACTGACCACTGCCAGGTGAATAGCCCTGGGCACTCAGCACTGTGAGGTAAACAGCCCTGGGCACTCACCAGTACAAGGTGAACAGCCCTGGGCACTCACCACTGCCAGGTGAACAGCCCTGGACACTCAGCACTGTGAGGTGAACAGCCCTGGGCACTCACCAGTGTGAGGTGAACAGCCCTGGGCACTCACCACTATGAGATGAAGAGCCCTGGGCACTCACCAGTGCGAGATGAAGAGCCCTGGGCACTCAGCACTGCCAGGTGAACAGCCCTGGGCACTCAGCACTATGAGATGAAGAGCCCTGACACTCACCACTGCAAGGTGAACACCCTGGGCACTCACCAGTGCCAGGTGAACAGCCCTGGCACTCACCACTGCGAGGTGAACACCGCGTAGAA